TTATTTATTTATTTATTTGAGACAAGGTTGCACTGTTGAAGCCTTGGCTGGCCTAGAATTTGCTGTGCAGACCAGATTAGCCTCAAACTCACAGAGATTCACCTGCCTCTGTCTCCTGAGAGCTAGGATTAAAGGTGTGAGTCACCAAGCCTGGCTTTTTTTTTTTTTTTTTTTTTTTTTTAAATTCAATTTTACTGTTAGACTTCACAAGATTAATTAAATTGCTTGCTTACTAGTAAAATGAAGCCATCCCCAAATCCTGATTTTCTAGTTTTATGATTTTTCACAGCTTTTGTATACAGGTGATTTCTCAAGGCAAGAAGATAGACACCTCATGGCAGCTGAAATTCCTAATATCAAGCCAGACATTCTTATCATTGTGAGTATTGATATGCTGTGTTATGTGGTATAATATAACCAGCATAGGTTTTCTTTTTTAAGGCAGGATCTCACTGTGTAGTCCTGTATGGCCTGGAGCTTGGTATGTAGAGCAGGCTAGCCTTGAACTCATAGAGAGCCACCTGTCTCTGCCTCCCCAAGTGCTAGTGCTGGATTAAAGGCATGTACCACCATGCCCAGCCAGAACATTTTCTAGCAAAAAAAAGTCATAATCTCAAGTTCATGATGTCAATGTGTGGGTTTTTTTTCTTGTAAGAATTTTCTTGGCTCTTCTTTGTACTGTCTCTCCCTTTGCTTTGAAGTATATTAGCTGTGGTCTAATGCCAGAGACAATAGACCATCTCTGGTCAACATGTTTTTGATAGGTCGTGATAGGGTGTGTTCCTTACCTGTGTTCCCTCCTAAATATTTTTCTGTAGGTAAGTTAATGCTAAGTTTGTTAGAAGAACATCCGTTTTTGTTGTTTTTTTTTGTGTGTGTGTGTGTGTGTATGTGTGAGCATATTGCCTGCATGTACGTAAGTGTACCCATGTCATGCAATGCCTGCAGAGGCCAGAAGAGGGCATCGAATTCTGGACTGGAGTTAGGAATGGTTGTTAGCTGCCATGTGAGTGCTGGGAATTGAAACCCAGGCCTCTGCAAGAACAGCCAGTGCTCTTAACTACTGAGCCATCTTTCCAGCCTCTTGTTTCTGTTTTTTGAAACAGGGTCTCCCTGTATCCTCAGCTAGTCTAGAACTCACTTTGTAGACCATGTTGGCCTGATCTCACACAGATCTGCCTGCCTCTGCCTCTTGAGTGCTGGATTAAGGTGTGTGATATCACACCTGGCTAGAAGAACATCTTAAAAGGCTGTGTCAAAAATGGTGTGATCCTACTGCCTTTGTGGTGATGATTATCTTTCAACCCTTCCAACATGCTACTCTTACATTGTATTAGTTGGCAGGTCTCAAGGAAACCAAAAAAATGACCTGTGTGCAGAAGCTCTTGGCGGGGGGGAGGGTCTGACGCAAATTTTAAAATCTGTATTGGTGGCATGGTGTCAGGGAATGGGAGATCTGGGACTATTATACATCAAGTATGTTTGATTCAATGCAGAAGAGCACCTTTCCTCTGTAGATCCTTTGACTGCCCTAGTCTGAGCACCAGTGCCTGTTGCCATCCCTGAGTAACCTTGCCAAGTGATTAGATGTGGCTCAGCTCCTGTGCTCAGCATAGAATCCAACCTTTAATTGGGGAAATATTTTTTTGTCAATCTTCAGAACAAGTAATTATTTTCATATTATCTGGTATTTTAGAGCAGTGCTTCTCTAACTTTAATGTACTTATGACCTGTCTGATAATACTGTTTAAATACAGACTGACTAGGTAGTAAGTCTGGGCTTGGGCCTTGGATCTGCAGAGGCGTACATGGAGTGAGAGTCTATAGGATGTTCTTAAACTCAAGCATAAGAAACATGATCTAGTTGTAGTTTTAAAGCTTTGACTCCTCAAGGGTGGAAGGGAAAAAGCATGCAGCAACATTTATTTTGAGGGAAGAAGGTGTATTGTGTACTATTTCCAGATTCTGTTTTCTAAAATGTTCTTATTAAGATCTGAATTCTAGCTGGTTGTGGTGGCACACACCTTTAATCCCATCACTCACAAGACAGAGGCAGGAGGATCTCTGTGAGTTCAAAGCCAGTCTGGTCTATATAGCAGCAAGTTCCCAGGCCAGCCAGAGCTACATAATGAGATTCTTATTTGCTATCCTTTTAAATTAATATTATAACAGCATACTTGCAGTAAATGGCATGTTAATGAAACAAAGCTCTGCCTCAGCATTTCATTGAATTTTGAATTCTCTGGTTATGGTTGGTCTTGGTCTTATGTGTCTGCCCTGCTATTTAGGAATCTACTTATGGGACCCATATCCATGAGAAACGTGAAGAGCGAGAAGCAAGATTCTGTAACACTGTGCATGACATTGTCAACAGAGGGGGCAGAGGACTCATTCCTGTCTTTGCTCTTGGAAGAGCTCAGGAGCTGCTTTTGATTCTAGGTATTTGGGCAACTCTGGAACTCTCTTACCACTTTACCTAGTTACCATGACCTTGGATGCATCATTTCATCTTTATGGTTGTCAGTTTTTAGTTTTTTCATTTAAAACAGGGGATTTGAGGCTGGGTGTAATGGCACACGTCTTTAATCCCAGCACTCAGAGGCAGAGGCAGGTAGATCTCTGAGTTGAGTCCAGCCTGGTCTACATAGTGAGTTCCAGGCCAGCTGGGGCTACAGAGAGACCCTGTCTCAAAAAGAAAAAAAAAAAAGAAAGTGGGATTTGGAGGCTAGAGATGTAGCTCAGTGACAGAGCACTTGCCTAGCATGCACAAAGCCCTGGACTTAATCCTCGGTTTCATAAGGAAAGAAAAAATAGGGATTTGGTACAATAAGAGCCCCAAGAAGCCACAGCTCATATCTGCTGCTACTAAACAAAGTTAGGGTGCCTCTCTGATTTCTGTCAGTGTCAGAAGTCTTCAGTATGCATGCCTTTTAACCAGCACTTCCACTTCTAGAATAGGAAGAAGATAATAGGTAGAGGTATGTGTCATTTTAGGTCCTTGACTTTTTAGTGTTGTTTTGAGACAGAGTCTTGCTGTGTAGACCAGATTGGGCTTAAGATGATCTTCCTGCCTCAGCCTCCTAATAGGATTATAGACTTCCACCTTCATCATGTTAGTATTTTTAAGGAAACATGCCAGTAAACAAATTTGGAGAATGTCAGTTAGCTATTCAGTAAACCAAAAAACTGAATTTCAGAAACTATGTATTCTGATTCTATTTAGGTAAAGCATAGAAATGCAGAGCAGGTTGTGGTAGCACATGCCTTTAATCCCAGCACTTGGGAGGCAGCAGGCAGATTGCTGAGTTCTGAGTTCAAGAGCAGCCTAGTCTAAAATGAATTCCAGGTCAGCTGGGCTACAGGGAGACCCTTCTCAAAAAAAGAATAAACATGCAAATTATTAAAAAGATACCAAATGTAGATAATGGGGGGAAAGGTGATTTTTGTTTTGCTTTGTTTTCTGCTCTTCTCCAGATCTGCAAAGATTTTGGCCAGTATGCATGACTTTGTAATAAGAAGGCATGCATTCGTGTTTAGAAATTCTTCTGCACGTAGACCTTTTGTGATTCTATTTGAGGAAAGTATCCTTATGGATGGTTGGCTCTGTGTGTCTATAGCTTCCATGTGGGAACTAGAGGTTGTTACATTAAATAGAAAAGAGAAGGAAAGGGAAGATAGGCTGCATGATCCCAGGGCAAAAGCCAATTAGTCCAATTCAGTCTTTTGATCCTCTTTTCTAATGGCAAGTTAAATTAGTCTATATAAATCTTGAGCTAGAAAGCTATCATACCCAGTGATGTGAAGAGCAAAGGGATTTAGGAGTGAAGGTAGGCCATGCTATCACCCTTACACTGAGGTGCTGGACATCACAAATAGCAATGTAGGTCATCCTGTCAAATTCCAGTTTCTGATGATTAATGAGTAATACCTTGGTATAAGTGTTCCAAATACTTCATGTACATTCTAATTCCAAAAATCTTTTCTAGTTTATCTGAGGTGAACATTAGCTGTTTTTATCTGGCATCCTCACCATCAGAGTGGTGTTCCAATCCTGTTTTGAACGAGGACTACTTTAGGCCTTTGGTTGCTCCTTCCCCATCATTCTTCCTAGTTTCAGATTTCATTCACAGTCTAGACATAAAACCTTCAAGTCATTCAACTTTTTCTTTTTTCTTTTTTTTTTTTTTGGTCTTTTTGGGACAAGGTCTCCCTATAGCCCCAGCTGGCCTAGAACTTGCTATGTAGACCAGGCTGGCCTTGAACTCACAGAGATCTGTCTGCCTCTGCCTCCTGAGTGCTAGGATTAAAGGTGTGCACCTCCATGCCTGGCTCCTCACTCCTCAACTTTCTTTTTCAATATTAAAAATTTCTTTATAAAAATACAAAAAAACCCAGAGGTTGACTGTCTTGGGCTGTAGTCTGCTTTGTAAACTAAAGATTTGTAAAGTACATATAGACTATATGTCACAAACGTTTGACACTACTAAAATTTTTTAGTACATCTAAAAAACATGAATAGTCATCTGGTGAGGTGGCTCAGTAGGTAAAAGCATATGCCACAAGAGCCTAATGACCTGAGTTTGATCCCTGAAATCCACGGTGGAAGGGGAGAAACGACTCCTGAAAATTGTCTTCTGACTTCCACATAGGCATAGTGACACATGTTCACAAACACACAGAGAAGCTAATAAGCTTTAAAAAAATTTTTTTAAGTGAAAAACAGGACAAGCCAGAGAACAAAACAATAAATGCCAGAAAAGTTCCCTTAGATAGACTTATCACTAAAGCATCCTAGAGAAAAATAGAACTTGCACTAGTCAGCGTTTGTGTCTCCGTTTCTTCGTCTATAAGGTGGAAGTTAGGCTATTTTGAGAAAGAAAAATGAGGTTTAGGGGGAATAGTACTGTGGCAAAGTGTTTGCCTGTCATGCACAAGGCCCTGTGTTCCATCCCAGCACTGGTGAAAAAGAAAAAAAAAAGAAAATGAAAAGTGATGCATGTGAATTCCATAGTAGATATTTAACATATTTCCTAGGTGCACCTGGGGGAGTAAGTTGGCTACACAACATTTATAAAATGGTAAGATTTAATAATGAGAGTCTTCCGTTAAAATAGGCCTTCACTTGAAGGTATTTTACCCATTACTTTAATTAATTAGTCATAAGTGGTACTATGATTCCTTCTTTAAAAAAATGTTTGTGTGTGTGTGTGTGTGTGTGTGTGAGAGAGAGAGAGAGAGAGAGAGAGAGAGAGAGAGAATATGCCACATACATGTGTATATCTGAGGAAGGCATTATTAGATCTAGAACTGGAGTTCTAGACACTTGTGAGCCACCCATGTGGGTGTTGGGAACCGAACTTGAGTCCCCTGGAAGAACAGCAAGGGCTCTTAACCACTGAGCCATTTGGCAGTCCTGTTTTAGAATCAGCAGTTGATGAGTCTGTTTGAAAGAATAATAATACACTTGTATTTAAAATATTCATGGGATTTAGTGTCTCTCTGGGGGTAGTAATGGTCTCTTATGAGACAGGGTCTCCCTGTAGCCCCAGCTGGCCTGAACTCATAGACCAGACTGACCTTGAACTCACAGACCTTGAACTCTGCCTCCTGAGTGCTGGGATTAAAGGCATGCACTGCCACGCCTGGCTTATTTTTAGGTTTTATACCAATATTTAGACATAAGTTTTAGATTTTAATTTTAAGTTAGTAAGGAGCAGGATAGTTTTACTTAGTCATTAAAATAAAATTATACCTTATTAGATGAATACTGGCAGAACCACCCGGAGCTGCATGACATTCCAATCTACTATGCTTCGTCCTTGGCCAAGAAGTGCATGGCTGTATACCAGACGTATGTGAATGCTATGAATGACAAAATAAGAAAGCAGATCAACATCAACAATCCCTTTGTTTTCAAACACATCAGTAACCTCAAGGTGAGTGCTTATGGAGGAAAGGAAGACAAGGATAGGGAAACAGATCAGGGCTTGGAAGAGAAGCCTGTCGGTGACCAGCAAGACTTTCCTACTGAAGGCTCCCTTTTCTCTAGCCACATACTTTTCTGCCGGACAACTGTGGCAGCTGGACTTGGGTGTCTACTTTAGTTCATCTTACCCCTTGCTCTAAGTCTCAGTATTTGTAATTGCTAAGTAGCCTAGATCTCTTCTGTCATAGCAATAAAGTCCTAACAAAAATACTGTGGGTTACATTTGGATCTCTGTTCTCCTTCACACGTGATCATCTTTCTGATGAGCATCACAAATTCCATGTATGACTGGAAACCTCCCATGTTTGCTTTCCAAGGTCACTTGATCAAATCTGGTTTAATTTAACATATATGATTTTATTTAAATTATGATCAAATGCTTTCTATTTAGTTTTATGAGTGTTTTGCCTGCCTGGATGTAAGCACCTCCATGTTGTTCAGTGCTGGCAGAGGCCAGAAGAGGGCATCAGGTCTCTTAGAACTAGAGTTACAGACAGTTGTTAGCAGCCACTAGTGTACTGGGAACCAAAGCTGGTCCTCTATAAGAGGAACCAGTGTTCTTAACCACTGAGCCATCTCTCCAGCCTCAAATGCCTCTTAAAGAACACATTCTAATTTTAAGATGTGACATTTGAACACATAATGTTAATTAATCTTGTCATGACCTTTGTAGTACTGTGATTAATCCTTAAAAATGAAGAATGCTTTGATAAACCCTGGTAATTAGTATGCTTTATACCAATTCTTTGTCTTTCTCAGAGCATGGACCATTTTGATGACATTGGCCCCAGTGTGGTAATGGCCTCACCAGGCATGATACAAAATGGCCTATCTAGAGAGTTGTTTGAAAGCTGGTGTACTGATAAGAGGAATGGCGTCATCATAGCAGGGTACTGTGTGGAAGGGACACTTGCCAAGGTCAGTTAATGGTCTTGGGGTACTGTGTTACTCTTAATCAGAATTGCAGAGGAGGCAGTATCTTCATAGCTTTCTCCATTAAGTACTTCTTTAAATGCTACAGGTTAGAAATGGTAGCTAGAGAGATTTGTAGGGTGAAGAACTGTGCAGACATTGAATAACACAAAATACCAAGGTTAGGATGCACATTAAAGTTTTAAGACTTGCTTAGCTGGTTATACTTGTGGGTTTTTGTTTATTTTAAAGAAAGCTGGGTGTAGTAGTAGTGCACACCTGTCATCCCAACAGTGGTAAGACAGAGTCCAGAGGATCATGAGTTCCAGGGTACGCTTGGCAACCCCTTGAAACTTAAAAAAATGGGTTGGGGGGTAGGAACATATCTGAGATAAACAATTGAATCTCTTCATCTAATGAAGAGATTTACTAATACAGGTTGATGATTTCATATTCATAGTGCTTGACCAGACACTGTAGGTATTTAGGTTTGGGATTATTTGTATAGGCCTTGCCAGTTGAGCATTCCTAATCATTTTGTACTAAAAAATATTCAGTTTTGGTTTTTCAGATTCGGTATGCAAAACCCGTGACTTAACTTTTGCAAAGCTATATAAGCCTTTCTATTGGTATAAAATGGCTGGTGTTAGCTACCAGAGAATAGACAGTGCAGAAAACACTGCAGAACTTTAGAGGCAATCTATGAATGTCCAAGCAAGCATGTTCTCTTGTCTTCTTGCAATTGGCATCTGTTTTATTTTAGAAATATGGTACGGTTTCTCATTGTAATTGTTTTCATTCCTTTGTCTCATTCTGAGAAGTCCTTAGAAAGAATATTGATCTGTCTTTAGATGTTTCCAGACTAGAAGTTCATGTGTGTTTATGGAAATCCTGGCACCTGGACATGCCTTTCTAGAGCAGGAGGAGTTGGAGGTGCGACTTCATTTTCCAGTTAGGAGTTACAGCTTTCCCTGCCAGCATTGTAGATGCACTGAGCTTTAGTTATCTTACTTTTCTAATTAAATGTTTACTTGATCAAGAAAATAAGTGTTTGATACTTGCTGAGCCATGAGTGTTAAACCAACTGTTGTGGTAGAGATCCTGTTTACATTAGAGTTTTGATGACATGAAACATAATCAAAATGTACCATTTTTACCCCCTAATTGTACAGTTTGTTTTCTTGTATTTGTTTCTGGCAGCATATCATGTCCGAACCTGAAGAAATCACTACCATGTCTGGACAGAAGTTACCACTGAAAATGTCTGTTGATTACATTTCTTTCTCTGCTCACACAGATTACCAACAAACCAGTGAATTTATCCGTGCTTTGAAACCGCCTCACGTGGTGAGTCTATGAATTTGACATATAATATTCAAGATGCATGAAGTGGCACAGCAGCACTTAAAGATCTTTTTGTGAACAGAGTGCTGCACTTGGCGCTTGCTTTTGACATTTACAGATCCTCTTTGTGTTAAGTTCACTGCACTTTGATTTTCTTCCTTTTGCACTATGCTTATTTGACTGACTGACCCTACTCTAGTGTTCCTTCTGTTTTCTGCTTCCTCTCCAGGAACTTAGGAGCCAGGCTTGGGTATGTGGCTGTTTGCTTTGAATCTCAGCTCATTCCTTTCCTTGCCATGTATCTCTTCAGCCTCTCTGTACCTTATTATAAATAGGGACGATAATACCTTACAAGGTCATTGTGAAGACAAAATGAGAGAAAATATGAAGTACTTAATGCAGTGACTAGCTCATAGTAAATGGTTAATGGTAAAATTAAATTGATTAAATTGTTAGTGCAAGAATAACTTCAAGAGAAGAAAAAGTCATAGAGTTTCAAGATTTAAAAAGGTATAAAACACATACTGTATATAGCTCCCTTATTTATGACTTACTTATATTTTTAATTTCATGTAAAAAAATTAATAGTAGACTAATGAAATTACCCTGTCACTGGCTGAAGGTACTTATTGTACCCCATTCCCTTTTCATCTCAGTCCCATCCAGGTTCCCTATAACTACTTCCTGTCTCTGATTTTGATAATTCATAGTATACGGAGGAATCATGCAACTTATATTTGCAAGGTTCAGCCATGTTGTTGCATGAATCACAGCTTCCTGCCTCCTTACAGCCGAGGAATAGTCCACTGTTTATCCATTATCCATTAGATAATATGGGTTAGATGGACCTGGGTTACCTTTTGGCTAGTGTGAGTGACAGCTCGTGGCTCGTGGTTTTCATTTCCCTCATGGCTGATAGTGTTGAGCATCATTCCTTGTGTTCTTGTTAGTTTTTTAATGCTTTCTTGCATGATGTTCCTCATAGGTATTTGCCACCTGCCCTTGGTGAACACAGTCAGGGATGGAGAAAATCTCCTCCTTAGTATCATCTGTAGAATTTGGTGTAGTGTGGCCCCTACCATGTGTTTCTAGTATGTATGTGGTTTGTGGACACCCTCTTGTACGTTAAGCCAGGGTGAGGAAAGCTGTCTTCTGCTTTCTTTGCTCTCATTACCTTAAACTCAATCCCACTTCATCTCATTGCTGTTCTGGTTCTTTCTGAACCCACAGTTTACATCCTTGATTTGGACTTGACATTCACCTTCTAATAAACAGCCCTAGTAAAAGTGTACTACTCATAGCCTACATTTACTGTTTACCAAGTGTCGGGGTAGTAGTGTCTCATAGGAATTAACTTGCTCAGTCTTTATAGCCAGCAATTTTTCTGAAATTAAACAATGGAGATGTTGAATGACTTGGTCAAGGTTATAGTTATTACACAGCAGCACCAGGCTTGGTAGTGCTCAGGCAGCATAGCCTGGGCCCTGTACCCTGGTAATAAGCCTTTGCCCTGGAGTGCTGCTGGCCATGCTTGTGCTAGCCAGACAGAAGCTATCTGCCAGTGGTCTGGAGACCAAGAGGCACCCCCTTTGGAAGACAGAAGCTATAAAAGCAAACAGAAAAAGTCCAGGCATGGTGGCACATGCCGTTAATCCCAGTCCCTGGGAGGCAGAGGCAGGTGGATCTCCATGAGTTTGAGGCCAGCTTGGTTTACATAGTGAGTTCCAGGCCAGCCAGGGATATATAGTAAGACCTTGTCTGAAAAAAACAAACAAACCAACAGAAAGACTGGCAGTCATTGCAGTAATGGTGAAAGAATGCTCCTCTAAAACATTTCATTTGGTTCTGAAACATTTTATTTGCAATTACTTTTTTTGATACTTTATTATTTTATATGCGTAAGTATACTGTTTGCATATATGTAAGTGTGCCTTTGTCATTGCAGTGCCCGAAGAGGTCAGTAGAGGGTGTTGGATCCCCTTGAACTGGAGTTACAGATGGTTGTTAGCCACCACGTGGATGCTGGATATTGAACCTGGGTCCTCTGTGCAAGAGCAATCAGTGCTTTTAACCACTGAGTCATCTCTCCAGCCCCTTGTTTTTGTTTTTTTGAGATACAATCTGTATCTCTCCATTTGGCCCAGAACTCACTGTATAGACTAGGCTGGCCTCAATCTCACATAGATCTGCCTTTATTAAACAAGAAACTATCAGAAGCTGCTTTTTTTTCCTTCTGCACAACAACTACATTTTAAAGTTACACATTAAGAAACCAGAAGAAAACTGGATGCCTTCCAAGCTAGTAGAATAGCAAAAAGCCTTATGCATTTAAAGCTGCATGGGCCATGGAGGCCTTCTGGTTCAGCCCTTAATGTGAACATGAAGCCTAGAAATGAAAGAAGTGTATCCTACTGATAGTGTAAAGAAGTTTACTCTTAAAGTAGATGCACCTAGTATATATATATACATTTTTTTAACATTTTATTATTTTTATTTTATGTATATGAGTGTATTCCTTGCATGTATGTGAGTGCACCCATGTCGTGCAATGCTTCAACAGTCAGAAGAGGACGTCGAATTCCCCTGGAACTGAAGTTAAGGGTGGTTCGTAGCCACCATGTGGGTGCTGGGAATCGAACCCGGGTCCTCTGCAAGAGCAATCAGTGTTCTTAATGGTTGAGCCATCTCTCCAGCCCCGCACCTGGTGTATTTTAAAGCTAAACAGAATAAAGAGTTCCACATGTTTGCCTGGCTGAAGGTCCCTAAAACAAGTAATCATAGGGCTGGAGTGATGGTTCACTGAGGTTAAGAGTGTCTCCTGCTCCTTCAGAGTACTAGAATTGGGTTCCTGGTACCACATCTGGTAATTTACAGCAGCCTGTAAACTTCAGCTCCAGGGGATCCCATGCCTTCTTCTGGCTGCCATTACCTGAACTCACCTGCATATACCCATACACATAAATAAAAACAAAATAAATCTTAAAAAAAAAAGATGTTTCATAAATTCAAGTATACCTTATTTCATGTATTTAACTTAAGGACAGTTATTCATCTGAATGATGTTTCTTTATACTCTCAGATTTTAGTACATGGAGAACAGAATGAAATGGCCAGATTGAAAGCTGCACTGATTAGAGAATATGAAGATAATGATGAAGTTCACATAGAAGTTCACAATCCTCGGAATACAGAAGCAGTGACTCTGAACTTCAGAGGAGAAAAGCTGGCCAAGGTAAAAGGCAGCAGTTGGTAACCTCACCACACTTTCTCCTTAGGGGAGTGTATTCTCTTTTTTTTTAAATTGAATTTTTGTGCATTTTGTACAAAACATCTTAATCATATTTGTATGCCTCCCCTGTCCATACCCCACTATAGCTATGCCCCCCCCACACACACACCGGCTTTCATGTATTCTTTCATATATATTAAGGCCTATCAAGTCAAGTTAGTGTGCCCAGATGTCTCTCAGTGCAGGTTCATCCACTGGGGTCTAGTCAGCCTATCTAGGGTCTTTCCCTTAAAGAGGATCAACTCTCCCTTGTGAAGATAGGCCTTCCTTGGGTGGCATAGACTTAGGATCCCAGCATTTGAATGGCTGCGGCAGGAGTACTGAAAGTTTGAGGCCAGCTTAGGCTGCATAATGAGTTCAAGGCAGCCTAGGTTACCACAGTGAGACTCTTAAGTTTCAAAATAACAAAAAAGAAAAAGAAAGAAAACTCATTGATGAAAAGCCTTTCTTACAGAGGAGTTGGGCAGGGGAAAAGACTAGCAAAACTTAAGGTGTGAGGCTTTTGTTGCCCTGGAAGAGAGATGGTTGTAATTATGCCTGAATCATGCTGTTCACAAACTTTCTAGAAGAGTTAATGGTATATTTCTTATGCCTGTAGATGTATACATACAGTCAGCAATTCAAAACTATACTTTTCAGACTCTGCTGGTAGAAATAGAGGGAGGAAAAAGATTTTCAGTTACAAACTAGAAGCTGCACTGACCAGCAGTCAAAACCTGAACTGCTTACTGGAATTTTGTTCTCCAGTAATTTAGTTACCGTAAAGCATTAGTGGGCTTAGAGTATAGGTCAGTGGTAAGATTGATCCCTAGCATCACCAAAAATGGCAAAAAAAAAAAATTTTAAAGCATTAATTTGTTTTCCTTCTTAAATGGCATCACCATTAAAATCTGTCTCTTCGAGCAAAGCTGCTTTTCAGAGAGTCACTGACATTTAAGGAGAAAATAGGGGCTGCAGAGATGGCTCAGCGGTTAAGAACACTGACTGTTCTTGCAGAAGACCCAGATTCGAATCCTAGCACCCACATGGCAGCTAACAACTGTCCGTGACTCCAGTGCCAGCAGATCCGACAGCCTCTTCGGTCCTCCTCGGGCATTCATTGCACAACATGGGTGCACTTACCTGCATGCAGGCAATACATGCATACATATAAAATAAAAATAGTAAATAAAAAATGTTTTTAAAAAAGGAGAAAATAGCCCTGTGAAACGGCTATCTCCATGTATAATTCCTCATAGTGAACATGATGCTGCCCAGTGGCTGTTGGCCCTGCTTAATTAAAGGTACACAGGGATGAACTGTACTGTCTTCATCCCTATGAGCTCACTCATTTGTAGTGGTGAGAAGTTGCCATTAAGGATTGTGGGTTTCAGCTGGGCATGATGATGCACTCCTGAAATCCTAGCATTTGGGCAGTATAAGCAGGAGGATTTAGAGTTCAAGGCCAGGCTCTGCCAAGTAGTGAGGTCAAGGCCAGCCTGTACTACATGAGACACTGTCTACAAAACAAGCAAAAAAGAATTGTGGGTTTCGTGTTTGTAAGGTTTTTGTATTTAATCAGTCAATATTTCTCAATGTCTGGTCCCATGCTTACTGACCTCTGTGTTCAGAAATGCTGTTTCTCTTAGCTTGTGGTTGGCACACTCCCTCCATGTATTAGGATTGCCAGAAACGTCTGCATTTTATACCATTCTATATTCTTTGCTTGTTTTTCTTGTAATAGGTCATGGGCTTTTTAGCAGATAAGAAACCAGAACAAGGCCAGCGGGTTTCTGGAATACTTGTTAAAAGAAACTTTAATTATCACATACTTTCTCCTTGTGACCTATCCAGTAAGTATACTATGCCTTGTCAAATACAATTTGATCTTAACATTGAAAGAAAATCTGGGAAAGGTGCTCTTAATCTAGTTGTCAGTTTTTAAAATTATTAGTAATTTATTTATTTAGACTCTGTGTGTATGGGGGTGTAGGTCAGAGGACAACTTTTAGGAGCCAGTTCTCTCCTTCCACCATCTAGGTTCTGGGGATTGAACTAGGGTCTTCAGGCTTGTGTGACAAGCACCTTTACCTCACCAACCCTGGTGGTCAAATTTTGAGTAGCAGCAAGTACAATGATGAACAATCTAAATAGCTTTATGGAAAAAGAAATCTTCCCTGAACGATTGAAACAGTCAAATTATTCATGGAATCTTTGGGGTGGGGAGGCTTCACTTCTAAGGCAGAGTGACCACTCCTGACCCTTTTTTTCTACCTTAACAGGATGTAGTGCTTTGATTTTCTGCAGTAGCATTTGTGCTTACCAAGTAGACTTTGTTTTTGTTTGGTTTGAGGGATTTTTGTTTGTTTGTTGTGGTACTGGCTATTAAATTTAGGTCCTGTGTATGCTAAGGAAATGCTCTACCACTAAACTACATTCTGGATCCTTGGTATTTTTTGCTTTGAGATAGGACCTCACTATGTAGCCCTGGTTGGCCTCAAACTTATCCTCCTGTTTCAGCTGCCTAAGTATCTGGGATTATAGATCTGGCCCATCATGCTCAGCTAGCATTTGGTGTTTTGATTACCTGTGGTAATTTTAGAATTTGGTTTTAGTTTGGGGGTGTGGTGTGGTGTGTGTGTGTGTGTGTGTGTCTGTCTGTCTGTCTGTCTGTCTAAGTGAAATGGAACTCTTGAGCCTCATGCATGCTAAGCATTCCACTGAACCACCAGGTTGCTCCTCATTCCTTTAGGACCTAAGTTTTCCAAGAATAAAATCTTTTATAATTTCTTTAAAAGGAAAAACTTAAAATCCAAATATTTCATTGCATTGGAACTTCCTTTGTATTATCCAGGTAACACAAATCATGTAGCCAATGAATATGTATACAAACAGAAGCTCATTCTGGAAAAAAATGAAAATTTGCACAAAGTTAAATAGGGTTACATTTAAATTTGTAAGTTACTTTCCCCCCACATTTACAGATACTTCCACATGAGCTCTGTGTCTATGTAAATTCTGAGCCATCAGTAAGGTCTTACTTTCCCAAATAGATATATTCTCTTAAGTGAACACACTACTCAGTTTTACTTGCCTAGCATTAAGTTGTAAGTGCTTTATAAAGGAATGCAAAATAACAGCAATATTTACCTATATTTAGGTATTTAACTATGAGAAATGTCAACTGTTGTCTGTCAGTTCTCATACTTCAGTATAAAACCTGTTTTTTATTGGGTAGTTAGCTCTAACTCTTATGCCATGCTCTGGCCTAATCTAGGCAGTGAAGAGTTACCAAACGCTTCAGTAGTAGTCCTGGCCATTGACATGTTAGTCTAATGAGGGAAGCAGTGTTAAGAAGTGCTGATCCCAGTTCAGCTCTGATACAGAAGAGTTAGGAAAGGCTTTTCAAGTCAGAAGCACTCGTGCCAGGTGGTGAAAGTTGTGAGGAGATGCTGAACAGAAAAGAAGGCAGGTGACAGCTGATATACTAGCCTGGAGACATCTAAGCTTCTATTCGGGGAGTCAGGTGGTTTTCCTGTGTCTAGAACTCAGATTAACTGGGGGTCGCATGGAGTGGGGTGTAAGGAAATAAACTGTGAAGCAAGCCTGTCTTTCTAGATTTGGGACAGATGGGTTTTCACTTACTTTGCTTCTACTCTTTTTCTTAATCCCTGATAATATGTTTTTCAAATTATATTTTGCATGATATGATATTCTTTTTTGTTTTTGTTTTTGATACATTGTCTCACTATGTAGCCCAGGCTGGCCTCAATCTGAGATCCTCCTGCCTTAGACTCCTGAGTACTGGGATTACAGGAGTGTAAAGTATATTTGTTCTAATTTTCTTTACAGATTATACTGACTTGGCCATGAGCACTGTGAAACAGACCCAAGCCATTCCATATACTGGGCCTTTTAATTTGCTCTATTACCAGCTACAGAAGTTGACAGGTATGTGTGTGCAATTACTAAAATTCATTTAATTGCATTTTTTAGTAAGATAATTTTATACCTAGGAAATGACGATTCTTAGTGTTGATAATTTTCTCAGAATTACCTGTGTACACTACATGGCCATCTTATTATTTGTAGGTGAAAACTTTGAAAATATATTCTTTTTTTTTTTTTGGTCTTTTTGAGACAGGGTCTCCTGTAGCCCCAGCTGTCCTGGAACTCACTTTGGAGACCAGGCTGGCCTTGAACTCACAGAGATCCACCTGCCTCTGCCTCCCGAGTGCTGGGATTAAAGGCATGCGCCATCACGCCCGGCTATATTCGTAATTTTTAAAAATCCCATGATATTTATCTTTGATAATTTAGTTTTAAAAACATCCTTAGTCTTTTCTCCTTTTGTTTAAAATCTGTTTTAGTTACCAACACCTAAACTTTTATCTATTTTGTTCTTTGTTCAATGAAAATCAATTTTCTAGTTCCATTGTTACCAATCTTCACAGGCTTTGTGAGAGCTCTTGGCTGTAAGCCCGCCAGTGAAAGCCTGAACCTGTTTAACCTGTTTTCAACATTTTGAAGGAATGGCTTTTATATGATGATGGGAGGGCAGTGACTGAAAGGTGTTTACTCTCTTGAAAAGGCAAGAACAAAGCCAGGTGTGCTTGTAGAAATTTAGTGTCAGCCCTAGGGAAGCAGAGGCAGGCAGATCTTTGAGTTCAAGGCTAGCTTGGTCCATGAGAGTTCCGGGTCAGCCAGGGATACATGAAATCCTGTCTCAAAAGAAAAAAACACAAACAAACAAAAGCAAGAATACTTCAAAGTATAAACTGTACTTAAGTACATAATCAGTTAAGTTCATAATCAGTAAAGTAAGCCAAAAGAAAGAAAATCCTTTTTTACTTTAGGCCCTGTTAGAATTATAGATAGTGGGGCTGGAGAGATGGCTCGGTTAAGAGCACTGGCCATTCTTGCAGAGGACCTGGTTTTGATTCCCAGCATCCACATGGCAGCTAACCGTCCATAACTCCAGTTCCAAGGGAATCCAGTGCTCTCTTCTGACCTCCAAGGGCATCGCACAACACAGGTGCAGTAACACACATGTGGGCAATATACTCATACACATAAACTAAAAATAATAAATTCAATTTTTTTAGAAAAAAAGGGCTGGAGAGATGGCTTAGCAGTTAAGAGCACTGACTGCTCTTGCAGAGGACCTGGGTTTGATTCCCAGAACCCACATGGCGGCCACGAACTGTTCTTAACTCCAGTTCCAGGGGAATCCAAAGCCCTGTTCTGACCTCTGAGGCATTGCACAACACAGGTGCACTCATATACATATAGGCAATACACATAAAATATGAAAATAATAAATATATTTTTTAAAAAAGAACCATTAAAAAAAAAAAAAAGAATTATATAAATAGTAACAGAAAATTAGTGAAATACATCTGAATGAACCCTTAAGAGGACATGCAGAACCAGTGAAGCCAAATCTTTAGCAATAGGACTTCCCTGTGGTAATGGTTGGAGTGGTTGAGGGTGCTCATGGTAAAGCTATGGTACCAGTAAAGACCAGATCATGGCAAAGCTGAGGTGCCAATGGAGACTAGATCTCTCACAGCTGCTAACAGAATCTTCAGTGTCCAAGGTGAATGTGTATGAAGTGAGATCTTTCAGTTGCTTTAAGCCATTAACATTAATCTTAGCCATTTAAAAGTTGAAATTTTCCCATTATGTGGCAGCTTTATTTCAACTATCTGTACATAGAAATGAATATGCCTCTTAAAGTATTTAAGAAAATTTTTTTTCTTTTCTTCTTTTTGAAACAAGGTCTTATGAGGCACCCCTGACTAGCCTGGAACTCACAGAGATCTGCCTGCCTCTGCCTCCCGAGTGCTGGGACTAAAGGTGTGTGCCACCACACCCAGCCATCTTATATAAATCTTATGATTTCTTTTTCAGGTGATGTAGAAGAATTAGAAATTCAAGAAAAACCTGCTCTGAAAGTATTCAGAAATATTACTGTAATACAAGAACCAGGCATGGTGGTACTAGAGGTAAGATAAAAATCATGGCACATGCCTTTAATACGAGCACTTGGGAGGCAGAGGCAGGTGGATATCTGTGAGTTCAAGGCCAGCCTGGTCTACATAGCGAGTTCCAGGTCATCTGGTGCTACAGGGAGACCTTGTCTCAAAAAGACCAAAAAAAAAAAAAATCATTTACCTTGACAAAGAGAAATAAAGTTGCAAAAAAGGGGTATGCAGTTGTAGAGGAAATTATTTACTGGTATGGGGGGCTTTAGTTATATCAAAAGATCTTAAAAGTCTCAATATAAAAAATTAGTTCTGGGGCTGGAGAAATGGCTCAGTAGTTAAGAGCACTGACTGCTCTTGCAGAGGACCCGGGTTCAATTCCCAGCACCCACATGGCAGCTACAAACCATCCTTAACTCCAGTCCCAGGGGAATCCGAAGCCCTCTGCTGACTTCCACGGCATTGCACGACATGGGTACACTCACATACATGCAGGCAATATATTCATACACATAAAATAAAGAATTTTTTAAAATAAATTAGTTCTAAGGATTAGGCTTGTATCATACATAAAACCTTTGTCCCAACACTGTCAGAAGACCAGGTAATCCTACCACTTGGGAGTTAGAGGCAAGAGGATCAGATGTTCAAGGTTATCCCTGGCTATATAGACAGTTGAAAGCCAGCTTGGACTACATGAGACCCTGTCTCAAAAAAAAATTGTTCTTATTATTGAATCAAAACTCCCGAACTTATCCTGTTGCATTCCAGAGCCTGGTGTACATATCACCTTAGTGAGTTCCAGACTAGTCAGAGCTACATAATGGGGTGGGGTGGTATTTAGGGATTTCAGATAAACCATAAAGTGATCCAAATCTAAAAGGGTTAGATACATTAAGTTAGGTGCAGACAGCAGACATAAAAGGAGACTTTTTAAAAAAAAATTTATGATTTTGTGTATGTGTGTGTGCACATGAACCACAGAATGCATGGAGAGGTCAGAAGACAAATTTGTGGAGTCAGTTCCCCCCTTCCTTTATGTGGATTTTAGGAATCAAATGAAGGTGGTCAGACTTGTGCAGTAAAAGCCTTTACCAGCAGAGCTAATTTGCTAGGCCAGGATTGAATGACCAGAGAGGCACCTTGTGTCTTTTTCTCTGTGTCAAGTTATACGTGCATTTCCTAGATATATGGCCAATTGTTTTATTCAAACATACCTTTTTTTTCTTTTTTTAAAGACAGCATCTTGCAATAGCCAGGGTTGACCTTAAACTTACATCCCTGCCTCCACCTCCTGTGTGCTGGAGTTAAGGTGTATGCTACCACACCTGGCTATACACTATTTAAAACCAAAAGAAATTCTGTCAGCTCTGGTTCCAACTACAGTTTTATGATTTATGTGTTAATTGATTCAGAAAGCTTTTTAAATCTCTTAAAATGTCAAAAACAATAATTGCTTCAGTGTGAAGTCACAATAATATTTAAAATCTTAATGTCAGTAAAAAGGGGACATTTTAAAGATAGTAATTTAGCTCTTTTTATGTTTTTAATTTGGGGGGATGGGAGGAGGTGGGGCACACATATGCCACTGTGCATGCATGGCGGTCAGAGGACAACTTGTGGGAATCAGTTCTCCTGCTGCCATCTGGATTCCACCAGGTCATTGGCCTTATCAACAAGTGCCCCTACCCTCTGAGCCAGCCCCCAGAATATAGTTTTGATTCCAGAGATAATATATCAAAGACTTTAGAGAAAGTTTTCCAGGTGACTCCTGATGCTTGGGAGTGTGCTCTTTGGAGTGGTTGTCAAGAGATGGGAAGGGTGCCGATTCCTGAAATAATTTGCTACACCAGGACTTGGAAAGCTTGGTTAGAGTACTGGGAACATGAAAGAGTGTCAGAATCTTAGGCTTCATGTGAGAAGCAAAAGTACATCTTTGATAATCACTACCCATCAGACTTGAGCTATAGCAGGTACAAGCTGCTGGGTCCCATTCCAGGCACACGTGTGGTGTGTCTATAGTCATATTTGGATTTTTTTTTTTTTTTTTTTTTTTTTTTTTTTTTTTTGGTCTTTTTGAGACAGGGTCTCCCTGTAACCCCAGCTGGTCTGGAACTTACTGTGTAGATCAGGCTGTCCTCTGCCTCCCAAGTGCTGGGTGGATTCATATTTTTATGATTTATTTTCATTTTTTGATTTAATTTTTATTTTATGTGTATGAATGTTTTGCCTACATATATATAAATGTACTACATGTGTGCAGTGTCTGCAGAGGCCAAAAGAAGGCATCAGATCCCCTTGAACTAGAGTTATGGACAATTTTTATCTGCCATGTGGGTGCTAGGGATTGAACCTTGGTCCTCTATAAGAGCTTTTAACTACTGAGCCATCTTTCCATCCCAAGATTTTATTTTTAATTATGTGTATGTCTTTGTGTGGTATGTGAGTGCAGTACCTACAGAATCCAGAAGAAAGGGCATTGGATCCCCTGGAACTGGAGTTATATTTGTGAGCCACTTGATGCGGGTGCTGGGAACCAAATTTGGATATCTGCAAGAGCAGCAAGTGCTCTTAACTGTCTCTAGCCCTATTTTACCCTCTTGTCATACTCCCTGTGCTACTAACTTAAAAGTGGTTTGGAGCTGGGGTGGTGGCACACATCCTTAATCCCAGCACTTGGGAGGCAGAGGCAGGTGGATCTCTGTGAGTTCAAGGCCAGCCTGGTCTACATAGCGAGTTCTAGGCCAGCTGGGGTAGAGGGATACCCTGTCTCAAAAATACCAAAAAAAAAAAGGACTTGGAATTTGAGTTTGAATATATGCCAGCATGTTACCTTTAAGTCAGTTTTCTCTTTCATAAATTTGATAATACTATTGTGAAAATTAAATGGGATTGCATATAAAACCTTTTGCCGCAAAGGAGGTACTTAGTATGCTTCTTTTTGCAGATTAAAAGGAAATTAAAGGATCCTAGCATTATTAGAGGAGTCAGTCAATCTAAGCCAAAGTGCTAGAAGCAGCGGCCCAGCTCTAGCCATGGTGACTGGGTGGGGAGAGTTGGTAGCTTATACTTGGCCATGATCTGCCTCCTAACTCTGCCTTTGCTCTGCAGTGGCTGGCAAACCCTTCTAACGACATGTATGCAGACACAGTGACAACCGTGATACTAGAAGTTCAGTCAAATCCAAAAATAAGGAAAGGTACAGACTTACTTCGTGTTTTTCAGTTCTTTCCTTTCTCCCCAGTTTCTTTGAAGTAGAAGCAGTAGAACCCTAAAGTAGAACTTAAAAGTTTCCTGATTTTTTAAAGTATGTAATCTTCGAGGGAACCTTAACAATGCAGATTATTAGTACCTTACTTTTCATTTTGGCTCTTCATTCATACTATAGAAATCTGATTACAATTACTACAAAGATAAGAATTCCTTTAGCTGTAGTTCTCTTAAAAACCATTTGAACAGAAATTCCAAAATACTGCTGAATTGAGCCAATGTGTCCATCAGGAAGATAGGCTAGTGTCTGTGTTTAGAAGTTACTGAGGCTGGGCATAAGTGGTGCATGCCTTTAATCTCAGCACTTGGGAGGCAGAGGCAGGTGGATCTCTGTGAGTTTGAGGCCAGCTGGGGCTACAGGGAGACCCTGTCTCAAAAAGACCAAAAAAAAAGAAAAAAGAGAAGTTGCTGAATAGTATGGTGTCTCCCTATTGAACAATTGCTAACAAAGATAAACACCAGCAAAAGTATATTTGAATCATTTTAACAACTTGATTCTATTAATGTATAGGTCTGTATAATATGTATCTTCAGATAGGCAAATTTGTGCCATAGAATGTTGCCGCTGGAGAAGGGGTCACACTGAAATATTCTGAGGTGCCTCTTACCTTGGACCCTTAACACAATATCAGACTCTGTTCTCTGATAGAATATTCCTCCATCTTAAAGACACACATACACACAAGCTGTTAATTCTTTGATTTGGGGGAGAAAAAAAGTTGAACTGGCTATTTCCCAATTCATCCTAGTTTGTAACTGTATATGAAGTGAATAGGCTAACTTAAATTACTCACAAAGCCACTGGTAAGCATTTGAATTTGTTTCGGTAATGGTAAATGTAAATTTTCATTTGTTGTAGTTGAATTGCTCAGTGGGCAGATGCAATTTGACTGCTGTAAACAGTGCTGCTGTAGATGTTTGTATGTGAATTTCTGTGTAGGTTCAGATGCATTCATGTATTCAGTAGTAGAGCACTTAAAATGGATAAGACCCTGGGATCAGTCTCCAGCACAGAAAATGTTTTTTGGCCAGGCATGGTGGTGCACACCTTCAGTTATAGCACTTGGGAGGCAGAGGCAAGAGGATGAATTCACACATACACATAACTAAAATAACAAAAAGAAGTTAAGCGTGGTTGGTGCATACCTTTAATCCCAGAACTTGGGAGGTGGAGGCAGGCAGATCTCTGAATTCAAGGCCAGCCTGGTCTACATAGTGAGTTCCAGGCCAGCTGGGGCTACAGGTAGAGCTTATCTCAAAAAGACACCCCCTCAAAAAAAAAAAAAAAAAAATCTTAAAGCAAAACAACAAAATCAGCTGGGTGTGTTGGCATATGCCTATAGTCTTAACATTTGGGGAGCAGAGGAAAGAGGAGCCCTGAAAGCTTGAGACCAGCGTGATCTATACAGTGAGTACCAGTGCTACATGGTGAAGCCCTGCTTAAAAAAAATAAAAGTTTTAGCTGGGTGTGGTGGCACACGCCTTTAATCCCAGCAGTAGGGAGGCTGAAGCAGGTGGACCTCTATAATTTCAAGGCCAGCATGGTCTATATAGTGAGTTCTAGGCCAGCTGGGACCACAGGGAGACCCTGCCTCAAAAAGACCAAAATAAATAAATAAGGAAATAAAAATAAAGGTTTTTATGTAGGCATGTTTCATATCTCTCGGGAGTAGGGTTCTGGGTCAGAATTCTGTTCTCTTGTATAACTGGCACTGTGCCAAGGCATCCTCCATTCCAGGTTAAAGTTTGCTGGTTGACTTGACATTGGTTGTATGGTTCTGGGGCAAAAGAAGGAAGTAATATAATGGACAGGTGCTTTTAAGAATTTGTAGTACAGCAGGCATAGGGAGGTGATTTATATAGTAGGATGTTAAATTCACTTAACAGTAAGCGATCTCTGTGCTCAGACGCTTCCCTGGAATTCTTGGAGCTGTAATTGTACACACCTCTCCTCATGAATGTAAAGTCTGAGAAACATTGGGGAAAAAAATTGAAATGTCATTTTGGGAGTCCTTGATGCAAACATGAAATAACATGATGCACATTAATTATATTAGTGGACAATGATACAGATATGTGCTTGCCATTTTAAGGCCTCCATAATTAATTTGGACTCATCAGTAACCATTCTCTGATAATTTGGTCACTATATAAATGGAAATTAAAAAGCTGAAGTCTGTTTTGTTTTGTTTTTCCCCAGGCGCAGTACAGAAGGTTTCTAAAAAATTAGAAATGCATGTTTACAGCAAGCGATTGGAGGTCATGCTCCAGTAAGTCTCCCAAGAGCCAGGTGTGCAGGTGGGCCAAGGAGCATTGAGTCCACAGAGTGTTCCCACTGCTTGTGGGGTTCAGACCAGGCCTGCTATGATGTGTCAGAATGAGCAGTTTGTACCAAGCTTTGTCCAAGTTGGCACTAGCTTAATGCCAAGTTTGAGTGTTCTGCCTGTAGGTGCCCTGCTTACCATAGCCCCCAGGAGTGTGTATGAAACTGGCATGGTCCAGCATGGGTGTTGATGTCGCTGGCCATCACTGTATCTGTGAGAATGCTTCTGTTTTCAGAAGTGTGAATTATTTGAGAACCTTGATTTTCTCTAGACTCTTTCCAGTAAGTCTGTAACTATGAAATGTCTTTAAATCCAGCGTGTTGCTAAATACCAGCACGTTTCTGCAGAAACTTTTTTAGGGCCTAGTTTTAGGATGTTTTTCCAAGCAGTCTTATAAAATTGCCTTGTAGTGGGTAGTTGTTTATAATTTCAGTTTCTAGCACAGTGCCTCATATATGCTAATCTTTCATTTGCTTATTGAATGAATAACCATTAGTTTCTCATCACAGACAGATGCTTGCCCTTCCCCTCAAAAAATGAATTTAAGAAAGATTGCATTTTGGCTCATGGTTTCAGAGGACTCTGCTGTGGCCAGGTGGTACTATGGCTTTGGCCTGATGTGAAGCAGCACACATGGCTGTGGGGTTGCAGGCTGGCCAGCACTGAGGAAAGCCCAGGCTTTCCTTTCATTTCCTTTCATTGGCCCCTAGTCCATGGCTACAGTTCTGAGTACATGGATGGCTGCCTGATAAGGCTGTGAAGCTTCTCCTAACCTTTGGTTTCAAGGAGGTCACATGACTCCCTGGAGCCTCCCTTGGGACTCGGGAGAAAAGACCAACTTACTGAGGGCCAGTACCTGCTCTACTGGGTCTGCTAGGGACAGGACTAGAACAGTTCTATTGTGAGTGTCTCTGCATGCAGGAGGCAGAGGCAGGTAGATCTCTGTGAGATCCAGGCCAGCTGAGGCTACAGGGGAGACCCTGTTTCATAAAGAACAAAACAAAAACAGTGCCTGCCAAGTAGAGCATTCTTCATAAATGATAGTTGTATATTTTACCTGTTCTCCAAAACCACTAATCTATGTCAAGGAAAATAACTACATCTCAGAAGTAGATAGAGGTATGTACTGTACTTTAGAATCTAGAGAGATGGCTCAGCGACTAAGAGCACTGGCTACCTTTGCAGAGAGGACTGAGGTTCAATTCCCAGTACCCACATGGTGGCTGTCTGTAACTCCTATTAAAGGGGATCCAGTGCCCTCTTCTGACCTCCTCGGGCATTGCACGACACATGTGCACCCACCTACATGCAAGCATTACACTCATACACTTAAAGTAAAAATAATAAGTAAAATAAATACATTTTTTTAAAAAAGTATTCTACTTTAGAACTTGGACCTATCTTCAATTTAATTTCTCCCCAAACATATAAAGTTGGACTTTCCCACTAATGCCGTTTTCTTTACTTGAGGGACATATTTGGAGAAGACTGTGTAAATGTGAAAGATGACTCTGTCCTGAGTGTCACAGTGGACGGGAAAACAGCTAATATCAATTTGGAGACACGGGTATGTAGCTCTTTCAGTGCTTCAAGATATTTGGGAAACAAAGTGAAGACAGTTTTTGGGGCTAGAGAATGTGGCTTATTTAGTTAGAGTTCTTGCCTAGCACACATGAAGCCCTGGGTTCTATCCCCGGCTCTGCATAAAGATGGGCATGGTGGCGTGTGCCTGTAATCCGTGCACACTGTTCTCTCTTTTTTGTTTTCTTTTTTGTATTTTGTTTTAAGACAGGGTAACCCTGTCTCACACTATAGCCCAAGCCCACCTCTGGGATATTAAACATACATCACTACACCCAGGTTTAAACAAATAAGTTATGTTTCAAATTTCTTACCTTGCTAGGCAAGTTATTGCCGCAGCTCACAGGATTCACATCTTGGTAAGGTTGATGATGATTAAAGGCAAGCACCACCGTGCTGTTTTTTGGTAATTGTGTAAAAAGCCAGTAGTGTTTTGTGGTTGAGCTGTAAGGTGTGAGCTTTGATAAGCCAGGCAGGGTGATGATAGATAACAGTAATCTCAGCTGCTTAGGAGGCTGAGGTAGGAAGATCAGGAGTTTCTGGCTGTATATTGAGACTGACCCTGTCTAATGAAATAAAACCAAGGAAGTAGTCATAAGATTATTAGTTTAGCCGGGTGTGGTTGGCACATGTCTTTAATCCCGGTACTAGGGAGGCAGAGGCAGGCAGATCTCTGAGTTCAAGGCCAGCCTGGTCTACATAGTGAGTTCCAGGCCAGCTGGAGCTCCAGGAAGACCCTGCCTCAAAAAGACTGGGGTTAAAAAAAAAAGATTATTAGTTTAAATTAAATTTATCCCCAAATATTGAGTAGATGATCACAACAATTTCTTACTAAGTAATTTGTGCTGCACAGACTTCTTGGAGCATTGTGTACTGAGTCAAAGTATGAACTTTGGGCTTTAAGAAAAGTGGTTCACAAGACTGTCCATTCCCTCTCCCCGTCTCTAAGGAGCTCCAGTCACTGTGCTGTCAGGATCACTCAGCACGTGCCATAGGGTCAGTGGCTCTGTGACTTGGTCATCAGCCTCCCACACTTCCATCCTCCCAGATGATGCTTCTCATTTAAATCCATGTGATGATTGTAGACACTGAAGTTGAAAGGCATGCTTGTGCTCTCCCTTTCAGATGGTAGAATGTGAAGAAGGAAGTGAAGATGATGAGTCCCTCAGAGAAATGGTGGAACTAGCCGCACAGAGACTGTATGAGGCCCTTACACCAGTTCACTGATGACCTCCTCTGTATGTGTTAATGTTTTACATACTTGGCTCTATTTCTGTTACTTTAAATAAAATACCTTAGTTTCTCTGGGATAGCCTGTTTACTTTTGACATCAGATGGCCTTTATGCCAACAGCTTGAATACCTCTGGACCACCAACTAATTTGTCCATCATTCTAGAATAGGTTGCCCATTACTTTAGAATTTATTCAATCTAGGTCCAGGCATTCATGCAGCACCCACGGAAACCCTTTAAGATCTGCTTCTTGCAACTGAATCCAAATTTGTCTTACCATATTTAATTGGTACAGGAAAAATGGTTCATATTGTCATACCTGTATGTTGAATTTGATTGCAAATTTTGTGCCGATTACAAATTTGAAGCCCATTTCTTCCCTCCTGACACTTGCCAAATTCCTTAGTTTATTGTGGGTATGACTTTTATAAATGGACATAATCTGGACAGAATTTTTAATTAACCCCAGCAAAACTATGTGCTCTTGTGTCTTGTGACCTTGACACCTGATCTCCTTTCCTAGGCAACCTCAATTTGGTATTTTACCCAAAACAAGAATGAATGAATGTGGGTTTGCTTGAAAATTAGCATATCAAAGCCTGAAAGGTTCAACCCCAGTCTCCTTTTGGCATAGTGGAGATTGGGAAGGATGTATGACCTAGGGTAAATGAGATATTCTGGAACTAGGTATGAAAAGGCCAGAGGGTCTGTTAAGATTCAAAATGGAGAAGCCATTTTGAATAAAATTATGGGTGGGTCAGTTTCAGGGAGAGAGTTCCAGCAGACAGTGTTAAATCAGCAGTTCCAGGAGACAGATGTTTCCAAGAGTTATCTGGGGTTCAGGCCCACTCTTAAAAACTAAATTTAAGGGGCTAGAGAGATGACTCAGCAGTTAAAGAGCACTGACTCCTCTTGCAGAGGACCTGAATTCAGTTCCCAGCACCCACATGGTAGCTGACAACCATCCATAACTCAGTTCCAGGGGATCCAACACCCTCTTCTGATCTCCACGGGTGTTACACAACATAGGTGCACTGACATACATGCAGAATACACTCATACACATAAAATAGTAATATTTTTTTAAAAAACCTAAGTTTAAGAGTTAGGCTCTCAGGTAACTGTAATGTTGGCATAGTATTGCCACACAGTTCATGTTTGTCAAATTTATCAAATTACCACTTTCAGGACTCATTTTCTCTGTATGGAATCTACACATTCAATTCTGAGATAGAGGGTTTTTTTGTTGGCTTTTTTTGATGTGTATGCATGTATTGCCTGCATGTAGGTAAGTGCACCTGTGTCAGAAGAGGCTGTCGGATCCCCTGGGACTGGAGTTACGGACAGTTGCTAGCTGCCATGTGGGTGCTGGGATTCAAACCCAGGTCTTCTGCAAGAACAACCAGTGTTCTTAACCGCTGAGTCATCTCTCCAGCCCCCGAGATAGGGTTTTTAATGACTCAAATGTATTGTGGAAGTTGAATTGTTTTTTGTGTGAATTAGTTCATTGGTCTAATTTCCTAAAGCACAGTTAATTCAGATTTGGGAGTAACTGGATGCAGGAGCCTCCCCAGTGGAGGAGCAGCTCAGCTCTGTTAGCGACAGCTTTGACATCTTCTTCAATGATTGCTACCTTTCCCCAGTGTCAGAATTCCGGGTGAGAGGCAACATGATAAAGCAGAAGTGAAATCCAACCTCGAAAGATGCAGATAGCTATGAGGGGCGTGCAGCCTTCCCGAGGGTATAGAGGTTGGGGGGGAGGTATAGGATTTATAAGTGGATCCAGAAAAGGGGCCATGGTGCTGCCACCCTAGCCACAGGCAATAAAATTTAGGCTTCTAAGCTCTCAGATAGAGACATTGGACATCTGTAGGACACCATTGGCCAGTTGGAGAGACAGGTTAACTCCCAGCTGAAATGGTGCTACAGAACAGAAAGGGGCTGGACTTACTGTTCCTAAAGAAAGATGGCTTATACATGGCCTTAGGTGAGGCTTGCTGTTTTTATGATGGTAAGAGGCAACTGAATGCCATCAAAATTACAGTTCTGAGGACCCAATAAAACAAGTCAAAGATTTGACTTAAGTCTCAGAGCCAGTGGAGATTGTAATACCCTGAGCCTCTCCATTTTGTGTAAGTTTAACTGGTCAATCATCTGGTCATTGAACCACCCCTAGGAAGGTGGGTTATGCTAAATAGATGGAGAGAGTTTTTCTTGCTAGCTCTATATAGTCTGAGTTTCTGAATTCAGAAAAGTGTAATATTTTTGTTTCTTCTCCATATCCCTTTTTTTTATTTGAAATTGTATTATTTTTATGTGTATGCATGTATTGCCTGCATGTAGGTAAGTACACCTGTGTTGGATCCCCTGGGACTGGAGTATGGACAGGTGTTAGCTGCCATTTGGGTGCTGGGTTGAATCCCAGGTCTTCTGCAAGAACAGTGTTCTTAACTGCTGAGCCATCTCTCCAGCCCCTCCATATCCCTTTTCTAACCTGCTTTAAGGCTTTGGGCTACCCCTAGCATCTTGTATTATTTTCTCTAAAGCTTCCTTCTCCCAGCCATGTGGCTGCCAGTCTACCTCCATTCTCCTCAAGGCAACCGCCAAGATTACTAGCTCACCTGCCCTGAGGATTTTTCTTTAAAATTCTAATAAAATTGTAAAAGCTTTAAAAAAAAAAAAACAGAAAAGGGGCCATGCCTTCCTAGAATCTCAGGTGAGTGCCTTCCCAGAACTCCAGAAAGAAGGTGGGGCATGCCTCCTGCAGTGGTTTCTTGCTCCTCTTCCAGGATCAGGGTTGGAGAGGTGGGAAGCTGTGCTTGGAGATTTGATAAGGAACCTGAACTTCGAGAGGGCTGAAAAGAAACCTAGTGTCCTTTCTTAGGGCTCACAAATTCTTAAGTAGATGTATCTCCCTCCTGGAGTCAGGAGCCGGGTGGATCGATGATCCATCAAACAAATACTTGCTAGCCACCTATACTGTCCCGTACTCATCTACCTCTTCTCTCAAGTGTATAACTCTCTTTCACTTTGGTAACAAACTTCAGTCTGTAAATCTCTTATTTAAAATGAGATACACATTTTTATAAAAACGGCCCAATTCCCATGTCTTTGGTCTGTATCAAAAGTCTGGGGACCACCTTTTACATGTGATACAAGGTTTTATTTTGTTTTGATAACACTAATGCACACTGCAGGAAGGGAGATTGTCCTTTCCAGAGGCCCTCCACACTAGGGAAGCAGGCTGAGCTGGTGAGGTGCTGAGTTGCTCTTGAAGCGCCCTGTCCGCCTTGCGGTTGGCATGCAGGTCCCTCTGATTTTTCTTCCTAGAGCTGATTTCTAAAACAGCTGATCTAACCTCAAGACTTGGATGCCTAAAGTCCCTGCGAGCATCTTCCTTGTTACTGGGATGACGTTCAAGTCCCGCGCAGGTGCATGTGAGCGTCTTCTGGGGCACGTTACAAATTTCCTGATGCCAAGTCCTGCGGGCAGACTTTTTGTTAAAGGTTTGGAGTGAGGGTCCTTGGCCAGTTCTGCCTTAGAATCCTCCTGCACCTGAAGCCAGTGGCTCTTGGCGGCTGCGGCGCGCACCCGTACCCAGCAGCCACCTAGGGCTCAGACCTCAGGACCCCCGCCTTCCCACTAGGCCGTCACTCGCCGCAGCCGCCATCGGAACCGCCGAGTCCAGTTGCGGCTGCACGGCGGGCGGACGCGTAGCCGACCTCACTGCCTACTACGGTTACCTGCGGAAGCAAGCTTCCGGAGCCCGAATGGGCCGCCAGGTGCGGGCTCTGGTTTCGGACGGCGCCAAATCGCACTTCGGGACAAACCAGGACAGGGTCCCGGCAGGCCGTGGTGTGTGCAAGGCCAGCTTCTCGGAAACCCACGACAACGAAGTCTCCTGGAAACCACAGCTGTCTCTGGAGTGACACCGAGGTCTGGAAGCCCGAAAACCCGACCGCAGGCGGAAGACCGGAAGCCGAGCAGCCCTAGGCCCGCCCCTCAGGTCTAGCCCCGCCCCGGCGCGGTTGCTGCGGCACATCCGGCGGCGCAGTCCGCTCGTCTACTCCGCGCCATGGCGGTGTCTGAGGGAGCGTCGTTCGGCAGCTCTCTACTCTGGCCTCGCGTGTTGCTTTTCGGGGACTCCATCACGCAGGTACCGGCCAGGCTCGCCCGCGCGTTCCCTGCGCCCGCGGCCTCCTGCGAGGTGCTCGTGCGCCCTTCGGTGCCGCGGTGTGGACGAGCCCCGCTGTCCTTCCAGGCGACTGTCTTGTAGAGGGACTGTGGAAAGACCCTGTGCACGCCGACTGCCGGCCTTCAGACCGGCGCCCCGCTTGTCCCGGCCGAGGCTCCCTCGCTGGCACCCGATTCAATTTTCTGTGGATTCCCTGCCGAGGCTTCTTTGCCTCAGTTCACTGCGCACTTCCTCCCGAGGCACAGGTTGAGCACCAAATGGCTTTGAAAACGGGATGTTTTCAAAAGTCAAGTAGAAAAAACCTTTTCATCTGACACCATTTCACCTCCATAAAATGCCTTACCCGGTGTCCTGCCTGATCTTTCCCGCAACAACCTTATTAAAGGAAGATAAGTTGCTTTCCTGTAGTTTTTTAACATTCAAAAGGCATGGCTTTCTACACCAATTCTTTAAAATATATCCTAATAATTGGCAACATTTTTGGTACTAGGCAGCTTTTGTGAACGTCTGCCAAAAAATCTAGGCGTGATGGCGCGTTCCTCTAATCCCAGCGCTCAGGAGGCTGAAGCAGGAGGATTGCCAGGATAGAATGAAGTATTGGCCTTCCTTGTTTTTTTCAACTGGAGAAGTGGAATGGTGTGGAAGTCATTTTTTAACTCAGCATAATTGCTTTTGTCTTGTATGTAGACTTTTTAAAGTAGCTTTTCTACTTTAAGATGACTCTAATATTAGGTCTCAGCAAAATGTCGATGACTCGGTCACATCCCCTAGATGATGAAAAAAAAAAAAAGCCTCATTTCCAGAATGCTACTTGATGAATTCATGGTAATTCCCCAGAGACCTTCCCAGTCCAGGAAGGCCAAGAAGTGAGGTTATGCAAGGAGGCCTGACCCTTTAAGGTGCTGCTAGTACTCCATAATTCTATCTGGCTGCACTGACACACAGTAATGGGTTTTTCTTCAGTTTTCTTTCCAGCAGGGTGGATGGGGAGCATCACTGGCTGACAGGCTAGTCAGGTGAGAATAATTCCTAAATTGGTACTTGGCAGTTTTCTGATAGGCAGTGTGTCTTCTCTTAACCTGTTAACCTTGGCCTGCCCTTCCTCTTCAGTGCACAGAGAGCACTCAGGGTTCTTTGTAAATGCCACCATGTGAAATCTAGCATCAGATGTGTAGGATAAATCCTTTGCGGGGAGTGGGGATGGAGGGGGTGGCACAGACCTGTCTGTAATCTCAGCACTGGGGAGACAGGAGGATCACAAATTGGAGGACATCTTATGTATTATAGCAAGACCCTGTTCAAAACAAAGCAAAAATACTTTCAAACCCCTGAATTTCAAGTTGTTAGTGGCTTTCTAAATTACTGTACTTGCTCAGGTCAGCATCCATTAGAAACCATTTTAGAAGCACCCTGAGCCACCACAAAGTCAGTCACCCTTGTATGGAATGTAGAATATCACTGAAGAATACGGTGATTACCTGTTGCAAAAGGACTTTGGGGAGGCTGGCTTGAGTACATCCTTGTCCTCAATAAAGAATCCTGGGCTGGTCAGGGCCTGTTGTCCCTGGGAAGCCACAGAGCACAGCCTCACTAATGGCTGGCTACTGGGCCCAGAAGCAGCTCCTTGCTCACAGCTCTTTTCAACAAATTTCATTTCAGAAAGTGCGATGTTCTGAATCGTGGATTTTCAGGTTACAATACCAAATGGGCCAAAATTATTCTTCCAAGATTAATCAGGAAAGAGAACAGTATCGAAAACCCAGTTGCAGTTACAATTTTCTTTGGTGCCAACGACTCTTCAATAAAAGGTGAGTGACTTCTTAACTCCTATTATATTCCTATTACCAAGCAAATTTACTTATATACTTTATTTTTTAACAGTTTCTCTATCTCCTAGTAGTCTTGCCAGAGTACAGTGTGCTCCTGGAGTTTCCTTATGTGTTTCTTCTGGCTTTGATGTGGTTGGATTTTATGCTGTGGATCGTTTTCTACAGGGCTGACTTGTTGTGCAACCTGAAATGACATTTAGCTTGTTTCCTGCAGGGCTATTTCTAATGTTCTTCTCCACAGTTGATGTACTTGGCAGCACAGGACTCACCTCTGGGGTGTACTCTTCCTCCTGAGAAAGGAGCCTTTGTTTTGTTTTTGAGGCAAGGTCTTATGTAGCCCAGGCTGGTTTCATACTCACTAGGTTACTAAAGGCAGCTTTAAATTGTTGATCCTCCTGCCTCTATGTCCCAAGTGCTTGGGTTACAGGTATTTGCCACCAGTCTGCCCTGGTAAGGACACATGACTTAGCAGAAAGACTGGTCAGGAGTAGCCTGAGTGGCAGGCTGTTGTTAAAATTCCTTTCCTGGGGAAGACATAAAGTATCTACCCCCTCCTCCTAAGGTCTCAACTACCAACTGAGGTCTGAGTCCACCAGAGTTCACTCTGGGGAACTAGTGAATTTATTAGGCTTACTTACAGAGCAGTGGGTGAGGGGGCTACAAGCAGGAGTATGGATGACCTTAAAGCAGTCATACCAGGTCTATACCCAGGTACCCAGGATGACTCTGGCTTTATAGATGGAGCCCCTCCCCTAGCCCTTCCCACCTATATATACTCTAGCCCCTTCCCCCTCCTACCCAAAGCCACATACAGTTAGGGCAGAATTGTGTACAAGGGGTTGGGAGGAGTGACTGGATACTCTGGTGAGGGGGCTATGACCCTCCCCAACCCTTCTGAGAGAATATCAACCATCAACAACCCCAGCTGTGATGATCTTTTGCAAGGTGACACAGCTGTCCTGAAGGTGGCATCTGTCTAGCTTAGAGGCTAGTCCTCCACTCCACAGGTTCTTAGGTTCTTGGATGACTTTATATTTCTGTGGTTTGTATGGGGGAGGATAGTCCTATACCACACAGGGTCATGGGTGACCTCTTTATACTTGCACGGCGTCTGCAGAGAGCCTTGTGCAAGCCTTGTACTTGTGTGCCAGCCCGACTAGAAGCAAGCCTGTGCAGTATTTTCCTGTCATGTGTCTGCTGAGTGCTTTATACACTTAGCACTTTTCAGCCAAATTAAGAGACAGACCTGTCATCATCATTTCCCAATGAGGAAACTGAGATCCTGATGATTAAGCATTTTTCTGAGGTTATGTGACTAGTCAGTGTCAGAGTCAGCATTAGAACTGGGGTAATCTTACTCCACAGCCTCCAAAGGCAGCTTTGCTTACAATGGGAGAACTAGAGATGAGAATGCTCTATCTGCAATTTCCATAGCCACTCTCCACCGGATTTCAGGTATTTTGTCATATACGTTAAGGCCAGGTCTACCTGTAGCCCCAGCTGGCCTGGAACTTTTTATGTAGACCAGGCTGGCCTTGAACTCACAGTGATTCTCCTGCCTTTGCCTCCCAAGCGCTGGGACTACAGGCTAATGAACTGTATGTTCTATCCCCCACCACCCCATGGGTTTATTTATGGAAGTGGAGCTGTCTCTATTTCTTTTAAAAGAAAAAGGAAATCTCTTATGTCTTCCATTCCTCAGTGATTTTGTATGCATTTGTAAGTCTATTTATGGCACATGCTTGAAATCTCAGCACTTAGGTGGCAGAGGCAGGCGGATCTCTCTGAGTTCATGGCCAGCCTGGTCTACACAGAGTTCCAGGCCAGCTGGGGCTACAGGGAGACCCTGTCTCAAAACAACCAAAAACCAAAGAACTTGGGGCTAGATAAATGGCTCAGCAATTGAGAGCACTGGCTGCACTTGCAGAGGACCTGGGTTCAGTTCCGAGCACCCACATGGTAGCTAACTATCTGTAACACCAGTTCCAGATATCAGATCCCCTCTTCTGGTCTCCATAGCTACTGCACATATGTGGTGCATATACATACATGCCAGTATACACATAAACAAAATAAAAGTAAATATGGTGGGTTTTGTTTGCTTTTTAAGGCCTGGGAATGTAGCAGAATTGGTTAGCATGCTTACCTACAATGCACAGAGCCTTGAGTTCAGTTCCCATCACTATATAAAATTGGGTGTGGTGGAGGCAGGAGAATCACAAGCTCAGCTACACAGTGAATTCAGTCAGCCTGGGATATACAAGACTGGGGGTGGGGACTTAAAACACAATAAAAATGGCCGGGCGTGGTGGTGCATGCCTTTAATCCCGGCACTCGAGGCAGAGGCTGGTGTATCCCTGTGAGTTCAAGGCCAGCCTGGTCTACATAGTGAATTCCAGGACAGCTGGGGCTACAGGGAGACCCTGTCTCAAAAAGACCAAAAAATAATAAAATAATAATACTACTAATAAAAAATGTATTTGGGCTGAAGTATTCATGTCATTGAATAGATGAAAATCCCAAGCAGCACGTTCCCTTGGATGAATACCGTGCAAACCTACAGGACATGGTCCAGTACCTCAGGTCTGTGGATGTCCCTGAAGATCGAGTCATTCTCCTCACACCACCTCCACTCTGTGAAGCAGCCTGGGAGAAGGAATGTGTCCTGAAAGGTAAATAAAGTTTGTGCAGCTACCACAGAATTGGATGGGAGCACCCAGAGGGCTTCCATAGCCCCTGTTGCCCTTGGGCCCCTGTGAGTCTGTTTGGAATCAAGTGAAGTGAAAACAAAATTACAACTCCCATTGTCTTACTCAAACAAAAAAAGAGGAATTCTGGCTGTGGCTAAGTCAGGAGGGATTGCCAGCCTGGCCACCTGCTGACCTTCATGGTTGTACTGAGCTCTGGTGGTGCCTGGATCCCCTAGGTCCTCATCCACAGCATCTCCGACTCCCTGGCATCAGGAGAAGGCACTGTAACATGGGCTCACAGAGTGATTCTTTTTTGCCTCCTTTATGGCAGTTGGAGAAAAGGTGTCATGGTGAAATTTCCCCACTTTTTCTTCTCTGTGAAGTGCTGTTGTGGCTTGTGCATAGCTGCACTCTTGTGCTGACACACGTGGCTGGAAGGGTACCATGGATTTTCACCAAGCTGCTGGAAACACAACAGGTTTTTCTAGGACACATTAATAACTTTTTTAATACAGATCAGCAGTCAAACTAGGGAGGAATTTATTCTTTTGCTCCCATACAGAGCCTGCGCAACCCAGCACCTGTACCCCATATCCAGTTGCCCGTTTTCTCTTTCATTTCCTTTTCGTCAGTCCCCTAGCTCTCCTCTGCCTGCACTCGGTACTGCCAGCAACCTGAGCTTCAACCCAGCTCTGGCTCCTACTTCCAAGCCAGCCTGCCTAGCTCCACCTCCCAAGGGAGCTCTGCCCTTCCTGCAGGTAGGTTAGGAGATAAAGCAGCATATGCTTGTTTAAATATGTGTGTTTTGCATGAGTGGAAGTAGATATAGCCATCACGGACAAGGAAAGCCTGAAGATGGTTAAGCAAGGTATGGATAGTCACGCAGCCATTAAGTAGCATTGTCAGGCAATTTACTAGGTCTCTGTCTAGACTGCAGACTTGCCCATAGTGCTGCAGTGGTTCTGGCTGCATACACACACTCAGCATGGCATTTCTTTCTACCATGGCCCTTCCTTGCCCAACTGACCCAAATCACCGTGGTCAGCTCACAGGCCTGCACTAAGCAGCTGCTACACCCCTGGGCCTTTCCTGCTTCTGTATATTTGTTCAGTGTCCTCCAGAACATTCCTAGCTCCCCAGAAGGTCCTGGGTGCCACTACTGGCTCCGGCTCCTCCTCCTCCTGCTGCACTTCATCCTCTGCTGTGTCACATGGCAGGAATAATCTTCGAGACCCACTGTTATAGTCCCCAACAGGCTGACATTAATGGCACTTAGAAACTGGCAGTCGGTACAGCTTGCACAAGGACCAGCATGAGGTTTATCAGTTACTATCTGGAGTCCCTCTCTCAATAGGGTGCAAATTAAATCGCCTGAACTCAATTGTTGGTGAATATGCTAAAGTGTGTTTGCAAGTAGCCCAAGACTGTGGGACTGATATCCTTGACCTGTGGACCCTGATGCAGAAGGACAACCAGGTACTGTGGATTTTCTCAGTTCTCTCAGAGCTAGTGGGACCACGCAGAGGTAAACCAGGTGTATACAACTTTCCTGAAGTGTCTATGCAGAGGTAAGTCAGGCATGGTGGTGCATGCCTGTAATCCCAGAACCTGAGAGGTAGAGGCAGGAGGATCAGACATTCAGGGCCAGCCTTAGCTACATAGCAAGTTCAAGACCAGCCTGGGTTACATGAGGCCCTGTCTCAAAAGTCAAACACAAATGGCCCCTCACTAGGGAAGCATAAAGAGCAGGTAAAGGAGAGTTCTAGGGGGTTCCTGTGGAGCCAGATACTCAGCTGGGAGTTGCCACAGAGCAATAAAAATGGTCAAGTTCTCAACATCAGGATAGGACAAAGTTTAAAGTGTCAACAAACAAAAATGTGACATTGAATAGAGTATAATCTCTAAGAAAATTTAGCTTGAGATACATAATTGTAATTATTTGTTTTAAAGCCGGAAAACATATTAGCAAAAAGCTAGTTCTCAAGGAGTATGGCCACTTTGACAGAGGACTTAGCCACCCACTCCTTAACCCTAGAAAAGGGAAACTGGGGGACTGGAAGACCTAGGTTGGAATCCCAGCACCCACATGGCAGCTAACAACTGTCTGTAACTCCATTTCCAGGGGATCTGACAGCCTTGTCTGTCCTCCACAGGCATTGCACAACACGGGTGCACTTACCTACATTCAGGCAATACACACATACACATAAAAATAATAAATAAAATATTAAAAAGGGAAACTGTTACCAGAAATCCAGTATGCAGTTGTTTATGGCAGTGTCATTCATACTAGCCCCAGTCTGGAAGCCAGCTACATAGCCTTCTATAGGTGGCTGGGAAACGTATGTCCACAGAACACGTGGAGTGAGGAAAACTGGAGTCTGAAACCCTCAGTGCTGTGGATGAAGCTGAGACTCCACTGCAGGAGTGCAGCTGCTCAAAGTCACATCCGTGACTCCATCCGTAGACCTGTCAGACAAGACTAGAATGACAGCTTAGGGACAGGATGGTGGGACAGAATTCAGGTTCCACATAGCACCTAATGGACAGCATAGAAGAGGCAGTGAGACAGCTCTATTTTACCCATACCTGCTACTGTTCTTGTTTGTTTTCAAGACAGGGCATCGTGTAGCTGAGGCTGGCCTAGAACTTTATACAGTTGTAGTCGATCTTGAAATTCTAGCTGTCCTGCCTCCACCTCTGGAGGTGGAGTGTAGGACTTGTACAGATGTGCACTACCATGCCCAGTTTACATTGTGCTAGGGACTGAACCCAAGGGTTTTGTGTATGCTCGGCAATCACTCTACCAACTGAGCCTACCATGCTCTTTGGTAAAGTATTTGTTTTGCCAGATACAAGTCATTTCCTTACTCTGCAGAGACCCAGAGAGGTGGCTGAGTGATGGGGACTGATGGTATTTGGAGTACTCAAAGGAAAGGAGAATCCACTGTGTACCCAGTCTACTTTTTTTTGTCTTTTTTTTTTTTGGAGACAGGGTCTCTCTGTAGCCCCAGCTGGCCTGGAACTCACTGCAGGCTGGCCTTGAACTCACAGAGATCTGCCTGCCTCTGCCTCCCCAGTACTGGGATTAAAGGCATGCACCACCACGCCTGGCCCCAGTCTACTTTTTTAAAAATTTATTTTTATGTGTATGTGTGTGAGCCTGCATGAGTTTATGTGCACTACATGTACGTAGGAGCCCATGGAAGCGAGAAGAGGGTATCAGATCTCCTAGAGCTGGAGTTAAGAGACAGTGTAAGCTGTCAGATGGATGTTGAAAACCAAACCCTGGGTCCTCTGCCAGATCAGTGCCTTTAACCCCAGCCATCTCTCCAGAACCCATTTGTTCTTCAGAGCTGTTGGGTTTAGCCACTTGGACAGGAGTTGGAAGAAAGCAACCCGCAGTCACCAAGCCAAATACTAACTTATCCTACCCCTAAATCTTAGTCCATCCTACCCTCCAAGGATCTGGAAGAAGGTAACAGAAGCAAACCCTGAATTAAATCGGGTGGAGACCATTTAGTAAATGCCAGGAAGCTCAAGAATGCCTGTCAACTCGTTTAAGTTGCTAAGAAATTGAAATTTACTTAAGTTTAAACCAAGTATTATAATTTTTCAGAGATGCTTGTCATCTAGAGGCTCTCGTAGCCCTAGTACTTTCAGTCTGCCTGAGCATCCTTGACTGACCTTTTAAGTCCTCTTGTTCCCAGAGCAGTGGGCACAAAACAGAAGTATCAGTGTTTGAGCATCTAGAGTAGTTTTGTTTTTTTTAACATTTTTATTTTATGTGTATGTGTGTTTTACCTACATGTATGTAAGTGCACCCATGTCATACAGTGCCCAAGGAGGTCAGAAGAGGGAGTTGGATCCCCTAGAACTGGAGTTACAGACAATTGTTAGCCACCACATGGGTGTTAGGAATCAAACTTGGGTCCTCTGCAAGAGCAGCTAGTGCTCCTAACTGCTGATCCATCTCTCCAGCCCTGGAGTTGGGTTTTTTTTTTTTTTTCTGCTGGAATTAAAGGCGTTCACTACCATACTTGGTTGGAGTTGGTTTTGGGGGTTTTTTTTTGTCTTTTTGAGACAGGGTCTCCCTGTAGCCCCAGCTGTCCTGGAACTCACTATGTAGACCAAGCTGGCCTTGAACTCACAGAGATCCGCCTGCCTCTGCCTCCCGAGTGCTGGGATTAAAGGCACGCGCCACCATGCCCAGCCATGGAGTTGTTTTTCTTAATCCACTGGAGGGCAGGAGAGATGACTCAGCTGGTACTTCCCACCAAGCCTGACTTACGTTTGATCCTCAAGACCCACATGGTTGAAGGAGAGAACTTCAAAGTTGTCCATTGACCTCTATGCACACCCACACACATACAATGAATGAATAACAGTAGTTAAAAAGTACTTAAAGAGGGGCTAGAGAGATGTCTCAGTGGTTAAGAACACTGGTTATTCTTACAGAAGACCTGGGTTTGAATCTCAGCACCCACATGGTAGCTAACAACTATCTGTAACTCCAGTTCCAGGGGATCTGATGGCCTTTTCTGTCCTCCGTGGGCACTGCACGACAGAGATGCACTTACCTACGTGCAGGCAATACACTCATATACATAAAATAAAAATAATAAAATACTCAAAGAGTCTACTGGGCATACATACACACAATAAATAAATTGGGGATAAAGAATTAGGACTGATGAGATGGTTCAGTGGGAAAGGGTGCTTGCCACAAAGCTAGATAAACCAAGTTTGTCCTCTGAAATCCACAAGGTAGGAGAACTGACTCCCAAAAGTTGTCCTCTGACATTCCCACACAGGTAATTGCACCCCCTCCCCCTGAAACCTCACATAAAAAACCCACTGGAGGTAATTTGAGACAGTTGTGCTAGAAGGGTGTTTTCAACTACTGCATGGTCTGCTCACAAGTCTTTCACTTTACACTAAGGCTCTAGAACTGAGTATATCTTTAGAGTTCCATCTAGAACCATCTAGATGAGAAACACAAAGCCTAGGGAAAAGGGCCACTAAAATCTGAGTCCTTGGACTATGAAAGCCATGTGTATAACCTGCCACCTCAGACCCCATAGGGACTGGGGAAGGAAGTCTTGCCTAGAGTGAAGATTCCAAGTAAGAAATAGGACTGAGTCTAAGGAGTAACTGGGTGACTGGATTCAACCCACCCATTCCTAGTCCAGATGGTAACAAGTTCTTCCTACCCCCAAACTTGCCCAAGAGTCATAAGATGACTTCCTAGGGCCTAAACTCTTAATACCAAATTTTTCACTGTTGTAATATTATTAAATCATAGTTACCTCTCATAAGCCTCTCTAAGCTATTAACATGTCATATGATTTAAGACCTAGAAAACTGTCCAAATTGAGACATAGAGTAAAGGCTTTATGATTTCAAGAGCTGGGGTCTGTATTAGACAGCGCCAGAGGGTTAACAAGGCTCTTGTGTGTTCAAACACCTGTGTAGAGAGCACACAGAGCACACTGAGGCCACTGTGGTCCCAGATGGTACTTAAGCAGCTACATGGAACAGAAGGGGTTGGTTAGCTTTCTAAGAGCCAACTTGGGGAGAGAGTCACACCTTTAACATGCCCCCCCTCCCTTGTAGGACTTTTCGTCTTATTTATCAGATGGACTACATTTATCACCAGCGGGAAATGAATTTTTGTTTTCACATCTCTGGCCTCTGATAGACAAGAAGGTCTCTTCTCTGCCCTGGCTGCTTCCTTACTGGAAGGATGTGGAAGAAACAAAGCCTGAACTGAGTCTGCTGGGAGATGGAGACCATTAGTCAGCCTGGGGAAGCCATAACTTTGTTAATTCACAAACATTCCAAGAGATTGATTTAAACACTATTTCTTCTCAAGCTTAAACTTCTGTTCATGATCTTGGCTCAAAAAACTGTTAACATTTGCTACCAATATTAATAAAGTTTTAAGATTTTTCAGGGAAACGCTGTACTTGATACACTGTTTTGTTATTCAGGATTTATTGACTAAAGCAGGCATTGTCAATGGCACAGCTACAGAATATACCCTGAGCAGCTTGTTAATCTGGTAAATGGCAAAAAAGTAAAGACAATTTTGTTTTTTTAAAAAATCACAATTTTATAAAAAATGTTTTTCTTCCATTCTGCCAGGAACTCCTTCATTCATACACCCACACACCCCACTCACCTTATACCAAATTCTGCAAGTGTAACTAGAGTATAAGAACATCATGACTAGTTGAGAGCAAATACCGTAAGGTCCAAAGTTCAAGTATTAGGGTAACAAGGAGTTGTGTAACAAACGTCCTCAGAAGGAAAGAAGGCACAGGTTTGGTTAACTGTCCTCAAACTTCACAAGTTATCTTGGTTAAAATGTGTTAGCTGGTGAGCACATTTCAGTTTTATACCTAGAACTTACAAAAGTCAGAATTCAGGCTAATGATTTTTATCCTTCACACAGTAAATACAGATCATTCAGAATCCTGAAGCACTAAAGAAGTCATGTGAATATCTATTTTCTGGGTCAATAAAAAGGGTTTCTGAAGACTTCTTCTTCCAGGACTGGTACCCAGTCAACAGAGGTAGTACCCCCTCCTGACCAGGTCAGTGTCTTGGCCTGTTCAAACCCTGTTCACTTCCTTTGCCCTCTTGTCCACTAGTGTTCACAAACAGGCAACGTGTTCTCTCCAATCATATTCTGAAATAGTTTAGGTTTTGTGGGTATTGAACTTTTAAGGGCATCACAATATTAGAGATAAACGAAGACGCTTGTAAAATGGAAAAACTGACCAGTAAATTTGGCATTATCTCTAAATTCAAGTGGCTGTTAATGTAAACTTTAAGAGAAGCTAGAATGTTTTTCATCCTAGAAAGCACTAACCTATGAAGAACATTACCCAAATCAGGCCTAAGTTTGGGCACAGGACTCTCCTTTTGCACAAGGCTGTATAATAGCTAGGAAAGGCCAGAAAAACAGGTCACCTACCTAATCAGTGCTGTTATCAATAAAAAAGGTTAATTTACGAAAACACAAATATTCAGAACTTAATGCAGCCTTACTTTCTGCTTTTGTACCACAGGTTGAAGGATATTTTAGATTATAAAAAGAAAAACTCCAAATCTGAAAACCTCAGCCAGATTCGCCTCACCTCTTCCAAGGGGAAGGGTCTGGCCATACCAGATGGCTTATGCCAAGGAAGCTCAAACACATGACCAGCATCTACTAAGTCTCATTTCCTCTAAGATCGTCACAAAATATATGCTTTGACTTTAGGTCAGCTTTATAAAAATACTCTGCACATGTTAAGTCAGAGGGCTCAGCCACAGCTCCTCCATTAGCATTCTGTCTCTTTACTGTCAACCCGGTTCTGACGCTGCAGCTTAAAAGAGGCGGCCTTTTCACTTCTGGTGACCGGGTGGCCTGTGAGGTCCTCAAAGGACTTGGCAGCTGCACTGCTGTTGGGGAAGGGGTCCTTCTCAAAGCCGTCCTCATCCACATGTGAGTCTGTGCTGGGGTCTTCTTGGATGGTATCCATCCTCTGGTGGTCCAGTTTTGGAGCTGCAGACACTGGTGGCATCATGGGGGCCGGCTGCAGGGGCTGTAGGCGGCCTGGAGTCTGGGGTGCAGGAAAGGGCTTGATAATACGAACAGATGCAGAATCCATGCTGCTCAGCATCTCAACATTCTGTAAAGGCATGAGCCCAATGGTTGGGGGAAAAAAATGAACCAAAGGTCCTTAAGCTGTAACCTTACCCATCAAGTAGCCCTGTGCTGTGGGCACTGTGTGTGCTCACACTAAGCAAAGCAAAGTGCTAGGCAAGGCTCACTCAACCTCAGCAGTAGCTTAAGTACTCTGAGATGTTCTGACAACTTGTCCACTGAGAATCCCAGAGACCTCAGACAGCCCTATCAAGATCTGTGACAGAAGAGCTCAGTGCTAAAATGCTAAATCGCCACCTATGGTTGTGGGGAGCCCTGGGTTCCTCTCTGCTAAGTCTCTATCCATTCAACTAACATGAGTGTGTCACAGTCACTTTCTCAGATCCTTCTTGCTGTAACATGACCTTTCACTAGCCCAAAAGGGAAGATCCTCTGTAGGGTAGATTGCTGTTTACTGAGGCCTTGAAGTATTTCATGTGGCATACTTACACTGTGGTGAAACAGAGAGAGAGATTCATACTGCTTATCTAACTTCTTATCCTAGAAAGGAAAGAAAATAGATCATTACTGCAAGAAATAAAAGAACCCAACACTCAAAAAATAAGTGTTCTTGCCGGGCGTGGTGCCACACGCCTTTAATCCCAGCACTTGGGAGGCAGAGGCTGGTGGATCTCTGAGTTCAAGGCCAGCCTGGTCTATGTAGTGAGTTCCAGAACAGCTGGGGCTACAAGGAGACCCTGTCTCAAAAAGACCAAAAAAAGTTAAAAAAATAAGTGTTCTTATTTTTAAAAAATGGTGCTCAGCCGTTAAAAAGAGTACTGGCTCCTCCTGCAAAGGACCTGGGTTCAGTTCCCAGCACCAACATGGTGGCAAACAATTCCAGTTCCAGGGGATCCAATGCCCTCTTCTGACTTTTGTGGGCACTGCATAACACAGGTGAACTTAAACACATGCAGGCAACATACTCATACACATAAAAATAATAAAATACTTAAAAAAAAAAAAAAACTGCTTTTTCCTCTTGTTTCCTAAAGCTGAATGAACTTAGAACCTGAACTGCAGAAAGTTGCAACAAGGGGCTGTGGCTCAGCGGAAGGGCACTTGCCTAGCAGCCTTGGATTACACCCAGCACTGCCAAAAAGAAAACCAAGTGCTGCAGTTTACTAGATGAGAATACATGTATGCAGCTTTACTGTTAAGCCACTAAGCAAGTGCTGGTCTGCACTGACAGTGACATCCATAACAGCAGAAGCACTTGAAGTCATGTTCTTCTGACATTCTTACCCTGTGGGCAGAGCAGGCATCTCAGGTATGACATGATAGGCCAACATCCCAGCTGCTACTGCACTAGGACAACACTGGCTGCTAGGACAGCTGGAGAAAGTTACAGTGACTGCTTGTAGCCTTCCTCAGCCCTGACCTCTGCCCCAGCCCACAGGCTCACACTTGGCTCAGCTGTTTCCATAGACACCCAGCTGCTAGAGGAAATTATCTTAATTGTCGCATCCTATTTCTGCAGGAGACATCTGCCATGTCTGAAGCATAATAGTGACAAAGGTCAAGGCAGAACCAAGAACCAGGCCAAAGCCTGTAATCAGAAGCTACCACCCACCAGCTTCGTTCTAGTCAGTGGTTCTGCTCTGTGAAATCAGCCTCATGGTCCACATGTACATCTTTGATATAAACAAGATCAGTTCTTTGCAGCAAAAGCACTTAGGAAAGATGGTGCTTTTGTCCAGTCTGTCTTTGGACAAAGTTTCAACCCATCACCTCAACAGCTCTGCTTTGGTGCGAGTGCTCCCCAGAGGCTCTCCTTCCTGTACACCATGCTCCCCACTCTATAGAAGCGGAAGAGCTGCTCAGTGAGACAGCCCCAAAGCCAGTAGGAAGGGGCCGGAAGCAGAAGGCAGGAAGCACTTGTGCTGTGCTCCCAGGAAGGTACTATAGGAGTGTCAGAGATCAAGTCTGACCATCTCATCTACAGTCAGTCCCTATTCCCCATACATGCAAGGTGAATGGATCTGGAAGAAAGTTTTTAAATACTCTAAAATTATAAAGTACCTAGAGTTTTTTGGGCAAAGCCCAATTCAACTTGTAACTTACTTTGAATGAGACTAGGAAAGACACATTCTTAGTTGGAAAGATATCAACACCATGCATGATAATGCTAGCAAACTATATAGTACATAGGAAATAGCTCTAAAATATTGATACTTGAAATTTACTCCACTGCAACAAAGCCTGAAAATAAGTGTTCCTTTAGGTCTTACTTCTCTGTTACAGACCCCAGGCAAGTACAGTTAAACGATCTCTTGTGCTTAGACTATAATATTCCTGAGGAAACTATAAGAGTAAAATATACACACAGAAAAATACAAATTTTATGTTTCTGAGTGTTTTGCCTGCATATATGTAAGTGTACCCATGTCTGCAATACCCACAGAGGCCAAGAGGGTATCATCCCCTGGAACTGGAGTTAGAGAGGGTTGTTAACTATGATATGGGTGCTGAACCCAGGTCCTGTGCAAAAGCAGCCAGTGATCCCAACTGCTGAGCCACCCAGGCCCCATTTTATTATTTTAAGTATATATTGGGGGGGGGGGCTTTTTGAGACAGGGCCTCCCAGTAGCCCCAGCTGTCCTGGAATTCACTATGTAGACCAGGCTGGCCTTGAACTCAGAGACCCACCTGCCTCTGCCTCCCAAGTGCTGGGATTAAAGGTGTGCACCACCACGCCCGGCAATTATTTTTATTTTATGTGTATGCATGTATTGTCTGCATGTAGTTAAGTGCACTTGTGTCGTGCAATGCCCTCAGAGGACAGAAGAGGTTGTCGGATCCCCTGGAACTGGAGTTACAGACAGTTGTTAGCTGCCATGTGGGTGCTGGGATTTGAACCCAGGTCTTCTGCAAGAACAACCAGTGTTCTTAACTGCTGAGCCATCTCTCCATGCCTCCCCCATCTTAATTTTTTTAAAGGCTATCAGCTAAGCTAAGTTCTTTAAGGAATAACACAAAAAATATTCTTTCTAGCTAATTTTTCTCTCAATTTGGAGTTGCTCAAATTTTTTATAAAATGGTTACTTAAAATTTGGTAACTTACCACACAGTGGACAAGAATGCTGAAAGGAATCCAAAATAACAAGGAGAAAACCAGGACAGACCCAACGATGTTGTCTGCCAAAAATTTTCCTGTGAAGAATTTCAAACAGTGAATATCTCAACCAAGTGCTTGATAGATCTACAATGAAACACTCTTGAATGTCATGGCTGGACACTGCTGCTTAGCCTGGTACTTAGCCTCAGACAGCAGACCCAGGATCTGTCCATACCATGCACCATCAGAGACAGCTGAACACCAGTGCTATACTTAGGGATGAGGAGACTAGTTCCACCCACTTCCTGTACAAACTGCCAACAGAGGGATACAGCATCCTGCTATTAGAATGCTTTTATTATGTGGCGATTATTTTGTAGCTAAACTCTAGATGAGGGGCTTTTGCCTTCTGTAAAATCCAAGACCCACCTGTAATAACTTTTATAGCAAACAGGATCTATAGGACTGAACCATATTCATTTGACTGTTTTCCTCTGAAAATTCATGCATGCAAGATACACAGGGACAGGCCAATAATGTGTCAATTTTGTCTTAGTCAACCAGGTTATTTCATAATAAAGGTCACAGTGAGTAGGTCTGTCTTTTTTTTTTTTTTCTATACACAAATTATGAAACCATACTTCTCTAAATCAGCATAAAAATCAGCTCAGTTTTACATACATAATCTAGGGAAATCCCTTACCAAAAGTGTTGATGCTCAGCTGGTCAATGAAATCCCAAAATCGCTCAATTACATCCTGTACTTGTTTCTCACATTTGCCCTATACAGGGAGAACACACTGTGTTATCCTTAACAATTTGTTTAGAAGCAATGTAGCTTTATAACAATACCAGGCATGTAAATAACTTCATTTAAATGGCCCATCTCTGACACACAATAATTCCCATGTGATGAGTAGTCAAGAAAGTAGGAGGTCTGTCTTCAGCACTTTCACAATTTGTCCCTTTAAAATAATTTATGTGGTGGATTAGGAGTGTTGAGATAGGGTCTCCTCTGTATCCTAAACTGGGCTTGAACTCTTAGACTTCCTGCCTCTGTCTCCCAATGGCTGAAATTACAAGAGCATGTCATCACACCCTGCACAACAATCAATTCATTTTTATATGTGAATTCAGAACTACCAGGACAAAGCTCAAGAAGTTTCCTAACAATGGAATGTCCCAGTCAGAAAGATACTATCTACACAGTGGACAGGAAGGTTTTATATTGTTAAGTGCTTGATTTTATAAACCAAAGGCAATCCAAACACAAATGCTATCATATCTTTCTAATAGTGCTTGTTTTGGGGAGATGTGAACATGTATAGACAGGGATTGCTTAAGAAGAAATGGACAACTGCTTTTAGGTCACTGGATTTCAAACTGTAACAAAAGACTCAGAAGACTGAGCAGGAAACTTCAGGCACTGAGTAGGTAGGAAAACCAAGGCTGCTTAACTTGCCTAAGTCAGACCCTTTGGTTCTCTACAGACACCTAACTCCACTCATAAAGAATGGCAGGAGAGGAATCCAAGTTAAAGAAAAAGGCTGTCTATTAATACTTACATTCATGTCACAAAATCCTACTGTACAGGGCTTCCCTTTCCTCAAAAATATGGTTTTTTGCTCTGCATCGACAAAGGGTACACACTGTCCAGAAAGGTCCCTGCAGCACACTTTGCACGAACTGTCCGTCTCTGAAACAGAGAAGCGCATGGCTGACACTGAGGTCTCTGCTGCCGGCTTTCTCTCCTCTGACCTCACTCCCAAATGGAAGGAATCCAATTTATTTTTTGTCAAAAGCTGATACTCTCCAAGGCTGAAGGTTATTGGTTATAGAGGTCTTGGGTTCCATTTCCAGCACCAAAAGGGGAAAATGGCCCTGACACTGCCATCTTCAGCTCCTAACAGTTACTGATTACACTTTTCAACCCTCAGAGTCAGAGGTCCTGAAGTTAAAACATTTATCTAGAGAAAAGTCTGTTATAAATTAAAAGCCAAAGTATGTTTTCTGCCCCAAACATGGGTAATATTCTTGTAAATGCGTCCCTTTTACCTGACATTCTTGTCTCCCTGCCAGTTTCAATCTTGAGCTTCTCAGTTTAAAGCACACTTTGCAGAGCCAACACCCACACTGGTGAGGGTCAGTACAGCTATGACAGAACTGTCTACCTGTAGGTGCAGAGCTGAGCAACTGCCAGCATCATGAGCAGCACAGCCTGCATTCAGTAATACCTTCCCCAGGAGCAACCAGGACAGCACCAGCACGAAAGTCCAGCATCAGAGAGGTGTATGCATACACGCAGGAACAGCAGAAATAAAGTCAGCCTCTAGTACAACTTGGGCAGTCTAAATTTGGTCTGGGGGTGGGGGGGAGGGGGGTTGTCTAAGTTTAACTTCAAGAGCAAGTCAAACAGAACACAAAAGCAAGCAAAAAGCTTTCCTCACTCATTATCAAGTGTTTCTGGGGCATTTACTGTGCCCTAGACTTTGCCTTTCAAAAGTACTCCAGGCCTGCTGTTATTTGCTCAGTAAATCATTTCCTAGCATTCTACATTGTGGTTGTGTTGTTTTTGTGCTGTGAATCAAACCGAGGACCTCACACATGCTAGGCAGGTGCTCCACTGAGCTGCATGCCAGCACCTATTCTGTACTCTTCCATGCTATTCCACCAGTAAGAACTACTTCTGTATACTATGGATGGTGAGTTCTTAGCCTCCTGATTCTAACACTGACTTCTATTTAAATACAAAAGAACTCTTATTGACTCACCAGCTCCACAGCTAAAGTGGAGTGGGAACTTGGAGTCTAGCCAAGCCCTGAATGTCCTTGAGGCTCCCTTCAGGCTTAGGTTCTAAAAATAAGAGCATGGGAGCCCAGGGAAAACTGTGAGGCTTCTTTCTCAGGCTGCTCCAGTAGGGATGAGAGAGTGGCAGACCTCAGTGACAACATCAAAAATCCCACCTAGAAAGCCAGTGAGAAGACTTGGCAAGAAAAAGCACTTGCTATCCCAGCCTGACAATCTGAGTTCAATCCCTGGGACTCCCATGGTGGAAGGAGAACTTATTACCTCAAGTTGTCCTTTGACCACATGTGTATGATGGCAGGTGCGTATGTGTTGTATGTGTACACACATGCACATACACAACTAAATGTAATTTTTAAAATCTTATCTAGATCGCTCAGACCTTGGAATCAGCTTTTTTGTTGTTGTTAGTTCCATGGGAACACAGATACCTCTGCTTTCATGGCTTGTATGATGTTTTGAGAAGTCCTCCACCCACCCCTAAATGCCCTCCCATTCTACCCTGAAGCCTGTCACATGTCTGAAGATGGAGTAAGACAAAACCCCCGAATGTTTCACACAGGCTGGTGGGGAGCCAGGATCTGAATGCAGAGGTGTCTGTCTTGACACTAGCCTGCCTTCCTGCTTTCCTCATCCCTAGCTTGTTCTCCTCTCTTTGCTGAGCAGCAGGGAGCAGCTGACATACCAGCCCTCATAGGGAAGGCCTGACAGACAAAGGCCAGATTTTCTCCTGCTACAGGATTCAGGAAGAAATTGCTCACGATTGCAGGCACAGGACTCCAGCTGCTGCTCTCTCTCGCAGAAGGGGATGCACTTTCCATCCTTGCACTTGCCAAGATCCAAGCACACTGTGTCATCTTCGGCATTTCCTGGTGGGGGGCACTCACTGCTGTTCCCTGAAGGCAAACACCAATTAAAACCTGAGTAGCGGGGCCACAAGTTCCACAAGCGCCATAGTTTCTCATAAAAATGAGCACCTGGCAAATGGCTAGAGCTAAGGGGCTGTTTTCATCTGAAAGAAAATGCAATCCTGGTTTTCTAATATGTGTTCACACTTAACCACAGTACACCTAGAGAAGGAACAAAAACACACATACCTGTGCAGTAAGACACGCCTTTGCAAGTGGCATTAATAGCCTCCTGGCACTTCTTCTGGGCTGTCTCAAACTGACAATTTTTACAGCAAGGACTGTTCCTATCGCTGTGGAAGACCAGACAGACAGTTCAAGTTCAATTCCAATGACAATCCCATATCAAATGCTACGGTTGTGTTACAGTGATCTGAAGACTGAAGACAGACCCCAGGGCTGAATCATTGCTGCACAGCCTGACTTCCCTGGAGCTCAAGCTACCTGTACAATGTCTTGTCTTTCCTCATGGCAAAGGCAACTTGATCAATGCCACACTGAGTAGGAAAGAGTAAGTAACTTGGTTCTTGGTTTGCATTAACTTAATGTATTAAGAAAAAAGCCCGGGGGCTGGAGAGAGAGCTCAGCAGTTAAGAGCATTGGCTGCTCTTGCAGAGGACCCAGGTTCGGTTCCCAGCACCCACATGGTAGCTAACAACTGTCTGTAACACCAGTCCAGGGGATCTGACACCCTCTTCTGATCTCTGTGGGCATTGTATGACATAGGTGCACTTACATATATGAAGGCAATACACTCATACACATAAAATAAAATAAAAGGTGCACCAGGCAACCAATGGCTACAAAAGAGGCAGCCTGAGTCCCATTCCCTACCAGTATTTGCAATGTCAATAGGTGGAGTATACAGATAAATTATTCACCACAAACTAAAATTTCCTCCTAAGCCAAGCACTGGTCCATCAGGGTACTTTAAAATGGAAATATAGATGCCTTCTAATTTGAATACTCCTTATTCAGGTCATTAAACAATATTCCACATTGTTCTATTATATGGATACACAATAACTATTTAATGGTAACTATCTCAAGGTTACCATTTTTATTGTGTTCAGTATTTTGCTATTATAAAAGATGTATCCATGAACAATCTTGCTAAATCATCTTTTTTGTACACTTGTTTTCTTTAAAAAGATTCTCTGAGGGCCAGTGAGGTGGCTCAGTGTGTAAAGGCATGTGCTACCAAGTCTGAGGACCTGAGTTCCATCCCCGAAACCCACATAAGTAGAAGGAGACTAGATTCACAATTGTCCCCTCACCTCCACATGTGCTCTGGCATGTGTGTGTGTATACACACACACACATTCATTCTCTCTCTCTCTCTCTCTCTCTCTCTCTCTCTCTCTGTAAATTAAAAAGATTTGGGCTGGAAAGATGGTCGGCAGTTAAAATAGTGTACTGCTCTTGCAAAGGACAAGTTCAGTTCCCAGAACCCACATGGAGCAGCTCACTCTTACCTGTAACTCTAGCTCCAGGGGATTCAACACCTCTCACCTCCAGAGGCATTTGCACTCATGTGCAGATACACATAATCAAAAACTAATAAAAGTTGAACCTGGTGGTAATGCCTTTAATTTCTGCTTTTGGGAGGCAGAGGCAGGAGGATCTCTGAGATTGAGGCCATTCGGGTATTGTATTAGTCACTTTTCTGTTGCTGTGATAAAACACTGACCAAAACAACTTATAAAAGGAAGAGTTTATTTGAGCTTACAGTTCCAGGGGAATTACAGTCTGTCTTGATGGGGAGGCATGGCAGCAGAGGTGGCTGGAGGAGGAGCAGCGGAAGCTAAGCTCTACATCTTCCGGCACAGGAAACAGGAGCAAATGGAGGTCTGGCAAGGTCCAATAGCTCTCCAAGCCAACCCCCAGTGAGGGTGCCTCCTCCAGAATAGCCACACCCCCTAAAACCTCCCAAAACAGCACCACCATCTGGGGACAAAATGTCCAAATACTTGGAACCTATGGGGGACATCTTCATTCAAACCACCACAGGTCTACATAACGAGGTCCAGGCCAGCTGGACTACAGGGAGACCATGTCTCTCAAAAGAAAAAAAGCAACAACTGAAAAAACAGAATCCTGCCCCAAACAAAAAACAAATAAAAATAAATCTTGGGGAAAAAAAGTGGTGGTGGTGGTGTTTTGTTTTTTGAGGCAGGGTTTCCCTGTTGTCCCGGCAGGCTTGGAACTCACTATGTAGGCCAGGCTGGCCTGAAATTGACCTGCCTCTGCCTCCCAAATTCTGGGATTAAAGGTGTGCACCATGCACAGCACATAAAGATTCTTTAATCTGTGGGATTGCTCTGTTAGTGAACATGCGAGGGGCAAGGACTTTTTTTAACATGTCCAAACTGTTTTCCATACAGCATTTCTCACACACACACTCACTCACTCACTCACATCCAATCAATTTTCTGCTACGTAGGCACTTACTCTGCTAACCCCCAGACTCACTGTGAGGATATTCTCACCTGCACTGCACACCTGGCTTCAACGTGCAGTTACTGTTGCAACAGGAGTCGTTGTTCAGGTACATGATGCCCGGGTCACACTCTTCTCCTTCATCCACCCTGGAGTTCCCACACACCTTGTTGCTACGTTCTTGGAAACACTCCTGGGCCTTGCTTTCAATGGTCTTATAGATGGACTGTTTACTGCAGTTTGAAAACATCTTGAGAGGAAAAAAGGCCACAAAAGCCGAAAATAACACAATGAAAATTCATTGCCTTGTGTTTTGTGCTTCTCTACAAATTCTTACTGTAAAATCACCAAAGAGCTATGTCAAAATGTCACCTTCAAATGCCATCATAAGGAATTATTTCCTTCTTTCAAGACAAAAGTTACTGTGGCCTTAATATGATAATACTTCTGCATCAGAAGTTACACTCCCAAGCAATGGTGTAGGCCCCCAGAGCCTAGACAGTGCTGAGTATACAGTAGTAACCAGTCATAACTACCTTTCTGCCTAGTCTCTAAAGACCCAGCCTTCTGTTTGCATTCTTATTACTTCCTTTCTCTCGGTGACCCTTTCCAAAAGGCCACAGCCCTCAGCATCTCTTCCTTCTTTTCACTAGTGCCTCTTGCTCAGTTTTCATAGCACCTCCAGGATGCTGCTCTTTGACCCACCTGGTAGCAGGTAGGTCTAGGTAAAAAAAGTCACCTTGGTTCTATCCTGTAGTCTTTTTCACTTAGTTAAGATATATTGAGGTTAATCTTGCTGGGCATGGTGGTCCATACCTTTAATCCCAGAATTTGGGAGGCAGAGGGAAGTCAATCTCAGGCCAGCCTGGTCTACATAGCAAGTTCCAGGTCAGCTGAGGCTACAGGAAGACCTTGTCTCAATAAGATCAAAAAAAGGGGAGGGAGGGAGGGAGGGGAAGAAAGAAAGCAGAAAGAAAGAGAAAGAGAGAGAGAAAGAAGAAGAAAGAAAGAAAGAAAGAAAGAAAGAAAGAAAGAAAGAAAGAAAGAAAGAAAGGAAGGAAAGAAAGAAAAAAAGAAAAAGAGAAAAGAAAAGAAAAGAAAAGAAAGAGAAAGAAAAGAAAAGAAAAGAAAGATAGATCTAGGGCTGGAGAGATAGTTCAGCAGTCAGGAACACTGGCTGCTCTTGCAGAGGACCCAGGTTTGATTCCCAGCACCCACATGGCAGTTAACAATCATCTGTAACCAGTTCCAGGGAATCCCACGCCTTCTTCTGACCTCTGCAGACACTATTCGACAAGAGTGCACTTATATATGCCAGAAATATACTCATACACATAAAAATAACAAAATATAATAAGAAAAGTGAAAACAAAACAGAAGTTAATCTAGGGCTGGGGAGATGGTTTAGCAAGTAAAGGTACTTGCCATCAAACCTGACAGTTTCTCCACACATAGACCATGGCACAGGTGCCTCCTGTATACATAAAAAAAAATCATAGCCAGGTGTGGTTGTGCATGCCTTTAATCCCAACACTTGGGAGGCAGAGGCAGATCAATCTCTGTGAAATCAAGGCCAGCTGATCTACATAGCAAGTTCCAGGTCAGCTGGGACTACAGGGAGTCCCTGTCTCAAAAAACCAAAACATAAATTAGAAGATGGAGGATATCGTCTTATGAGACTGACGTGCTACCTATTGCACTAACAAGGCGCCTGTGGATGATATCGTCTTATAAGGGGAGTACTACTTAGGAAAACTAAACTATTAAGCTTCATGGACATTGCTCCCCAGTCTCCTCTCTTTCATAGCAAGTTCTCACATGACACTTAGGACCTGGGGAGAATTCCACTTAGAAGAAAATCTCAGCAGGATGAAGTAGCATCAAGCATTGTCCCTTGAGGCACAGTCTACAAAAGCAAAGGAACCTGCCAACTAGGGGTACAGCCCAACATGGAGTTCATTAGCTATATCACTGTTAGGAGTGTTCATGCTTCATACTTTTTATTACAGAAGTGTCCGAGAACCTATTAAATCAACTAAATAATTGCATGAATGCTCATGTCCCCTGACCAGTTTCCACAATGACCAACTCATGGTTTCACAGATCCTCCATACTTATCACTATTTTTATCACGTATTTATTACTAGTTTTCCTGCTTTTAGTCTATATTATTTGTTTTTAACAGCTTTATTAAGGCACATTCAATCCCTAGTACAGCAAAAAAGGGAAAGGGAAGAAGAGAGGGAGGGAGAAAAGACTCAAATCGTAAAGTATTGCTAAGTTATAATGAGTAACAAACTGTAAATAAAATGTCAGATAATTTTTAACATAAAGCCTGAGTCAAACACATGCCAAAGACCAGGACTCTAACAAGTCATTACTCTAATTTTTAGAGCATAAATTTACACATGACCAACCCTTAATCAAACAATTCAAATGACAGCTTTAATATTAACATGGGCCATGTTTCACTCTAAAGCATATAACCAAGTTTCTATTGTAATTGGCAGTTCCGTCTCTATGGAAATATCGAGTAACAGCCCTTTTCCAAGTCCCTTTCTGATAACAGCACACAGCCTTCTTTCACCCACATAAAAATACTCAGAACACACATACCTTATTGTTCTCATGATCACCACTCACAGCTATGGGATACATAACGTACTTTCCTCCCTGGTCCTCATTTGGGGCACATTCTGCGAGCCCATCAGGATCATGTTCTGCTCCAAAATTGTGTCCCAATTCATGAGTTGTAACCAGGTCAGCTTCCTTAAGAATCATGCAAAGAAAATACGTAACCACCATCTACTTTTGCCCTTGGGACATGCTGTCTTTAATCAGATCAACAAAACAGAAACACCTGAGGTCAGACATGAAGACATGAAGGCATATTCCTGTCATCCTAACACTTGGGAAGCTAAGGTAGGATTGTGTATTTGATCCTGGACTACACAGTGCAACTGTATCTCAGAGGGAGAGGGAGAAAGAAAGAAAAAAAAAACTGGATTATGATTTCTATCAATTTTATATCTATCAATTATAGAAGTTTAACAGTAATATATAGAATCACATTTAACAGTATTTTAAGAACAATTAAACTTAAGAAGATATAACTCCAGAGATGTACTAAAAAGTTACAAGAAAATGCTCATACACATAAAAATAAAATTTAAAAAAAAATTTTTTTTAACCATTAAGGTGCTGAGCATGGTGGCAAACGCCTTTAGTCCCAGCACTCGGCAGATCTGTGAGTTCCAGGCCAGCCTGGTCTACATAGTGAGTCCCAGGCCAGCTGGGGCTACAAAGAGACCCTGTCTCAAAAAGACAAAAACAAAAAACATTAAGGCGGAGGAATCAGGCCTAGAGGTGATCTCTGGTTGCTACATATACATGTATACATGTGTACTTGTGAAGGGAAGGAGGGAGCAGGGACAAGAAAAAGTAACCAAAGATTCCCCAAGACATCTATACAATTTCTTTTTCCATCTTTCATCAATGGTGACACTCTTTTCTCAATATCTGAACTGATGCCTTTGCAGGAGTTCTCTCCCCTCACCATGTGGGTCCCCAGAATTAAACTCGGGTCACCAGGCTTGGCAGCAAGTGCTTTTACTTGCTGAGTCATTTCACCAGCCCCAATACTTTTAACTTTATTTTTGAGAGTTGAAATCAATAATGGAATGCTTTCAATATAAAAACATACACTGCACTTATCTCTATCCCTTCAGGACTTACCAGTAAAACAACAGTACAAGAATACAAAGCCTACAACCCACCAAAGACAAATAACAGGAGAGGACACAACAGCAGACAGACATGAACAAAACTTTTAAGTTAAAGAAAAAGGGCATGAGTTAGGAAAAGTGAAATACTGCAAGCATGGAAGAACAGGAAGCTATAAAAAGCAACTATAGGGGCTAGAGAGATGGCTCAGCGGTTAAAACACTGGTTGTTCTTGCAGAAAACTGGGGTTCAAATCCCAGCACCCGCATGACAGCTAACAACTGTCTGGAACACCAGTTCCAGGGGATCCAAGGGCATTGCACAACATGGGTGCACTTACCTACATGCAGACAATAGACTCATACACATAAACTAAAAAATAATTTAAAAAAAAAAAAAGCAACTATGGACAAAAGGGCTACTGTAACCACCTGCAGGAATAAAACTTCAAAAGGGCCTAAGATAAACAGAAATACATCCTCTAGAAAACAGAACTGGAGCCATGGTAACACACACCTTTGATACTAGTACTCAGGAGGTAGAAGCAGGCAGATCTCTTTTGAGTTTCAGGCCAGGCTAGTGACAGAGTGTGTTCCAGGCCAGCCAGGCCCTATATAGTGAGACAACAAAAAATTATCAAAGAAAAAATATACGAATATTTTTAAACTAGGCTTAGTGGCACATGCCTGGAATCTCAGTACATGGAAGATTCAGGAGGATCTCAAGTTCAAATGAGACTCTTATCGTACCAAAACAAACAAAAGTGTATATATTTTGATAATGATGAAAGTGTATAGTTTGAAGGGACTACCTGTCCAGCACAGAAAAGGGGAAAAGTAACACATATACATATACCAATTTAAAATAAAAGATTTATTTTTAGTTTTGTGTGTTATGTGCATGTGCGTGTGTGTGTGTGTGTGCGTGTGCGTGTGTGTGTGTGTGTGTATGTGGGTATGTGGGTATGTGCACATGAGTGCAAAAGCCCTGGGAAGGTATTAGATTCCCCTGGAGCTGGAGTTACAGACAGTTGTGAGCTGCAAAATGAATGCTGAGAACTGAACTCAAATCCTCTCCAAAAGCAGGACGTGCTCTTAACCACTGAGCCATCTCTCCAGCCCCACATACCAATTTTAACCTCACAATCAAAATACCAATGTATTAGACATTAATATTTCAATCTATCAATACCTATTCTCTCTTTCTTATGTAAGTACCCTAATTCCGCTCTGGGCAGCACCATATTCAGTTAAAATAGCCACTTTCCTGACCTGGTACTATTGGCATTCATTGGACCTACTTATGTCCAGGTAGACATTATCAGAAACCAGTGGATGAAGTTTCTAGAAAAGTCTTTGTAAAAGGATAACTAGACTATAGTCTCTTTCTCCTCCTTTCTACAACAGCACAGAGAACCATCTTGTGACTAAGAGCTTGATAACTTTAGTGTCAACTTGACACACCTGGGTTGAAAGAGCTTCAACTGGGGAACTGCCTCCATTGGACTGGCCTGTGGCCATGTCTGTGGGCCATCTTCTTGATTATTGAGTGATGTGGGAGGTTCCAGCCCACTGTGGGTGGTGCCACCCCTGGGCAGGTGGGCCTGTGTTGTATAAGAAAGCAGGCTGAGCAGGGGCCAGGGGAGCAAGCCAGTAAGTAGCATTCCTCCATGCTTCTGTGCTCCAGCTTCTGCCTCCAAGTTCCTGCCCTGAGTTCCTACCTTGGGCTCCCTTAGTGATGAACTGTGACTCAGGAGATGTAAGCTGAATAAACCCTTTCCTCCCCAAGTTGGTATTGGTCAGAGTATTGTGTTACAGCAATGGAGAGACAAACTAGAACAAACTATGAGTTCACCAAGCACGAGAATAGAAAGCTTGTAATAGAATGGCTAAAAGAAGGTCCGGAAGACCCAGACTCAGAGTACTTCTCTATCAGTAGCAGTGGAGAGGACTATTTCAGCCACTGGCTAACTCAGAAAAGCAAGCCCTTCTTTAGGCCACTGTTTGTTTATTTTCTGTTATTTGTAGCAAAACATATTTTCAACAGATATATCTACACAAAAACAGATTTTGGGGGGAGACACATTGAATGAATCCCAAGCTGGACTTGAATTCTCTATGGAGCTAAATTCAACCTAGAGATTCTGATCCTCCTGACTGCACCTTCAAAGTGCTGGGATTAGAGGCATGCCTGGTTTTATATGGTACATGTTAGGCAGGCACTCTATCAACTAAGCTACATCCCTAATCCCAAAACAAAATATAAAAATCTTTTAGGGAAAAAAAAAAAAAGGTCCCATAGAAAAGCTAAGGACTCATTCTTTTAACACCAGGAACACCAAAAGACAATGGAGCAACGCCTTCAAATGTGAAAAATGTGGAAGGGCAGAACACAGTGACATTATCAACCAAGTTTATAAGGAGAAGTCATTTTTAGATATACAAATCTCAAATTGTTGCATCTCATGGACCTTTTCTTTGGAGGTTCTTGAGAATATACCAGATGACAATAATGGAATATATCTAGAAAGAAGAAAGGCACACAGGCTGCCTTAGCATAACAGCATGTTGAACGCAAGGCACAGGACCAGCAGCCCTGAGAGGAGCTGCAGGACAAAGGGTAGCAGGAGGTGAGGTGTTTAAGGAATAAAGATCCAAGCCCGGTGTGGTGGTGCACGCCTTTAATCCCAGCACTCGGGAGGCAGAGGTAGTCTCTGTGAGTTCAAGGCCAGCCTGGTCTAAATAGTGAGTTCCAGGACAGCTAGAGCTATAGGGGGACGCTGTCTCAAAAAAAAAAAAACCAAAAAAAAAAGATCCTGACATGTCTTGACACAAAGCTAACGGGCTTCTTTTAATCTTCCTAGTTTTCTTTGTCATATTGCTCGCCTCACACATGAGTTTCTTAAGGCAGAAATTCAAAACTAAAAAAAGAAAAGCCTCAAGTACATATTACTTAAAAAAATAAAAATACCAGTACAAACATATAACTGAGATTCTAATGCATGAATTTTAAATCTATCCTGATTGTTTGAAAAACAATACAAAAAAACGAAAGCAGAGAGATGGCTCAGTGGTTAAGAGTGCTTGCTGCTCTTTCAGAGGACTCAAGTTCAATACTCAGCACCTCTTCTGGCCTCCATAAGCACCTATACACACATGGCATACAAATAAAAATAAAAAATAGGAGTTGGGGATTTAGCTAAGTGGTAGAGTGTTTGCCTAGCAAGCGTAAGGCCCTGGGTTCAGTCCTCAGCTCTGGGGACAAAAAAAAAAAAAAGACAAAATAACCAAAAAAAGCACAAATAAATAAATAAATAAATAAATAAATAACTCTTTAAAAAAAAAAATCAAAGCTGGGCATAGCGGTATACGCACTCTGTGAGATCGAGACCAGCCTGGTCTATATAGTGAGTTCCAGGCCAGCTGTGGCTACAGGGAAGACCGTCTCAAAAAGACCAAAAAACAAAAAATCGAAGATGGAGAGCTAGAAGGTAATGACGCTTGCTTCATAGGCCTGACCAATCCCTGGAACCCATATAATGGTGGGAAAAATTAAAATTGTCCTCTGACCTCCACATACATGCCCATGGTGTGCACATATGTGCTCCCCCATCACACACATGCATGCACAAATATACACGCACATACAGACACAAACACATATATACAGATGCACATATGTACATATATACACATACATACAAACATACAAAAACTTTTTTAGAAATTTAGACCACTGGGGTTGGAAAGATAGCTCAGCACTTAAGAATACTGGTTGCTCTTGCTTTAGTTTCCAGTTAACTGTAACTCCAGTTCCAGGGGATCCAACATCTTTCTCTGGTCTCTACAGGCATTGCACACAAGTAGTATACTTATATACATGCAGGCGAAACACTCATCTATGTAAAATTAAAAAGTAATCAAAAGAAAAATTAAGATAAATCTTAAAAAATTTTAGGCCAAGGTGGTTCAGTGAGTAAGGGTGCTTGCTGCCAAGTCTGACAACTTGAGTTCAATCCCCAGAACTCACATGGTGAAAGGAGAGAACTAATTCCTACAAGTTGTCCTCTGACCTCCACCACATTCAGGACATGGCAAGAGTGCCATGCAGTCTAACAAATAAATGTAAAAATAATTTTCTAAATTAATAAATTATTTTTTTTTTAATTTTAATCAAAGAACATACCTTTGTAAGGATGGTTTTACCATAATTTTTTGTGCTGGTCAAACCACTATTCAAATAGATATTTTTCCTCCCAACTGGGCTATAATAAGCTAAAGGAAAAAAGGGGACAGAATTTCCTTATTAAATATATATTAAACAACTATAACATAATCTAATCATCTTATTCTTTCAGTATTGTCATCATTAACATGAATTAAAAACTTACCCTTTTGGCCAGGTGTGGTGGCACACACCTTTGATCCCAGCAGAGGCAGGTGGATCGCTGGTGAGACCAAGGCCAGCCTGGTCTATGTAGTAAGTTCCAGGTCAGCTGGGGCTACAGTGAGACTCTGTCTCAAAAAGACTAAAAAGAACTTACCCTTTGGACAAACCCCTCCATGACTGTTTGCTCTGGGAGAACCAACATAAGCTAATCCAAGAGTTCCCATATCAAAATCTTGGTATGTGAAAAGGTGCGCCAGGCAGACTTTAGATGCTTCTTCAGCTATATCAAAGCTGAATTGCTTTTTAAAAAAAAAAAAACAGAAGTAGTCCTAATTAGATTACAGTTACACTAAATTCAAGGGTGTATCATCCAAATATTACAGATCAGGTGTAGCTCTACACCAGCACCCACGATGCCCTGCAGTATAATGCTCTTTCCCTGGGGTTCATATCCAACTGTGCAGGTAAAAAACACAGTGGTCTTGCAGGTGGAGGGTAGGACTCAGGCATCTTTCCTTTCCACAAACAGACCAACAGTCTGAACTAGAGCAGCTCCAATTCTGCAAGGGGATTGCAACACCCAGACAGAAAGAGATTAAAAGTATTTCACAAGTTCTACTGGGGGGCTCAAAAGATGGCTCGGCTGTTAAGAGCACTGATTGCTCTTACAGAGGATCTGGGTTTGGTTCCCAGCACCCACAAGGTAGCTAACAACTGTCTGTAATTCCAGTTGCAAGGAATTCAACACCCTCTTCTGGCCTCTGTGGACACTGCACAACATGGGTGCACTTACATACATGCAGGAAAAAATACTCATACATATAAAATAAAAATAAGGCCGGGCATGGTGGCGCATGTCTTTAATCCCAGCACTTGGG